GTCTTTCTAGTTTAACGAAATTTCGCTGCACTCTTGGCACTTACCTGTCAAACAGGTACATCCTCATGTTGCTTTCCGTTTTGAGGTCGGAGATGGATGCTCGGCTACAGCCAAAACCGCTGCCGCCGGAAGACTAACTATCAAAGCTTCAAAAAACCGAAGGGGGACAGCGCCGTCCCACAGGCTACGCTGCCGCCACGGATATTGCTGAGCAGTTCGGGCACTGGCAAAACGAATCCTGTCCTCAACTCAGCAACATCCCACAACGGCAGAGACACGCTCGGCACTCATTAGGGCAGGGCAGTGCACCACAGTGAACAGTGCTCTGAACGTGCACTGATACTGCTGCGAAATCTCATCCGTAAATTGCTGCTAGCGCGGAGCGGGTGCAACGGGCAAGCCCCTTTGCAGCCAATGTTTCCCATGCCACACCCTTTAACCCATCGTGCCGAGCGCAAGACCCTGAAACACAGAATGATGAAGGGCAAGTGCAGCCAACGAAATCCTAAGACATCCATGGACATCGAAGGACATCGAGGTATCCTTCCCGTACCAGAGCTTCGATCACTGCCTGATGCTAAACCCTAAACCAAAGCGCCGGCTTCCTGGCGATCTTTGCTGCACTGCGCTTCTTAGCATGGCCGACTGTGCTGACCAACGAGGCAATGCCCTGCTTGGGAAGTGGCGAATCGGAGGTGCAAGGTGGATTCAGCTGCTTGCCAGCACTCCAACAACCGCTGACACGCCGCTACAGATGCGAGACCCACAAAAGCACATGAAGAAACTATCCAGACTGCGTACGGGAGCTGAAAGCAGGAATGGTGGAAAGTGAGATACTCAGTATCATGCACAGCATGTTCGGGAGAAGAAGCTCCCACGCGACGAAGCTGCCTTTGTGGCCGAAACGTTGTGCTATTCGCCGCGAGTCCTGAGCTTGGGGTACTGTTTGAAATGGCCCTTCGAGTCGTGCTGTTGATCATGCGTTTCCCCTAGACCCTGAACCAGGATCTCTGCCGCAGTCCTGCATGAACTTCGTCGACTGATCCGCTGCTCGGGGCCTCATCTCGCCACAGCTCTGCTCTGCTTCTGTGTTTACGGCTTAGGGTTTGGAGGAGAACCGTTGGGTTTCAAGGTTTCGGGGGTTTAGGGTTTAGGGTTTAGGGTTTAGGGTTTAGGGGTTTAGGGTTTAGGGGTTTAGGGTTTAGGGGTTTAGGGTTTAGGGTTTGGGGATCAGACCCTAGGCTTGCAGGCTTAGGGCCTCCTAGGGTTCAGGGGTTTGGGGCTCCTAGGGTTCAGGGGTGCAGGGTTGTCTTCGGGTCTGCGAGAAACCCCCATCTCCAAAATCCTCATGTAGGAACCTGACTAAGTAACCCTGGGCCTTTAACCCGCAAAATAGTCGGATTCATATAAGGAACCCTAATAAAGGGCCCAAGGTTTCCTAATCAGGCTCCTACATTACCGGAAACCCGAGCTATCCCTCTCCGAACACCACATCCCAACCTGCGATCGAATCCAGGGTTCCCATCCTGTTGGGGCCATTACCCGGTGAGATGCCACAAAACCTAATCGGAGGGTTTATGCGTTTGTTGATTATTCGAAGAATATATATATATATATATATATATATATATATATATATAATATAATATAATATAATATAATATAATATAATATAATATAATCCTATCACGGGTATGCAAATAACTCCTGTTGCGGCCCAAGGCGCAAAAGATGGCTTTCGTCGGGCGCACGACCATTGCGCCGTCGCAGCGGTGTGGATAAACGAGACCTAAACCCTGGGTAGCCCTGCACCTCTGGGTGTTGATTGCCTGGTGGCGCTGCGGCAAAAGACTCTGGAACATGCCGAATATAAGAGCCGTATGAATAGGAATACAGTTCCAGGGTTCCTATGCAGGATACAATGTTCTTTGGTTTACGGACTTCAATAGAATAGGGGAAAGGGGGATCTTATACTATTGAAGTTATACAAAGGAATCCTGAGGAAACATGTTGGTAATTGTTCAGGCTGCTCCATTACACGACTTCGACCGACTTCAATACGGGGCCGCAGCGGAGAAACCAAATCCAATGAATTGCTACAGCCATGCACAGGAAAGCACAAAAACCTCCTGGGTTAGGGTTCTGGGTTTAGGATTAGGGAATAGAGTTTCGGCTCTTGTGTTTGACTCCTCAGCCAAAGCCTAGTTACTCACGAGATGTAACACAGCCTCCAGGTGATAATTTTCGAAGAAGGGGACCGCAACTGGGACACAGACACACAAAAACACACACACACACATTTCCTATACCCCAATAACGTCAGAAGAATCTGCGACACGCGAACCTCAAGCTAAGCATGGCATTCTTCAAATGAAGAGATGGACCCAGTCCTAAATCGGTCCTAAATTATCGCGCGTCGTGCTGGCTTTTGGAATACTTGGTTTCTGCAGTTTAAAACACAAGAATCCTCACAGTTCATGTAGGGGCCTGACTTGTTCGACTTTAAAGTCCAGGGTTTAGGGACAGAGCCCAATACCCCTTAATTAAGCAATATACCTTAAATTATAAAGGGGCCTTGTATTATGGTTTAAGCTATATTCCTTAATTTAAGGAGTATTGGGCTCTCTGGGTCTTGATGGACGGGGTAACCACGAGGGAACATATTGTTGCAATTTTTTTAAAGCAACCCTATTACTCTCCGCTGTTGCCTTGAAAGCGATACTTATAGGCCTAAGGTTCCTCACCGGGAGCTCTTGCCCGGACGTGAATGCACAAGAGCGAAGGGCTTCAGCAAATGTTTGGTGTTGAAACACTAAACCAAGCATTCAATCAGTCTATATGTGCATCGATGTGATACATACGACATCTACCATCCCGCGATTGCCACGCTCCAAGCAAGTTGACTGTTGATTTTGTTCCTGACACGCACGAGTCACACAAGGTGCATTGGACTTTGAGACATGTTGGGCTTGCAGCCCGAAATGCTAAATCCGAAATCCTCCACCCCAAAACCCCCGAACCAATCTGCAAGCCTGACAATGCTACACCCTAACTCTGTAGAGAGTTCGCTGTAGCTGTAGTAGCTCCAGGTTCTCTCTGATTGCATCAAGGGTCTGAACGAGATCATGGGTTCGCCCACGATGGCTGATCGGAGCGAGCCGTGAATCAAGCACAACCACTCCGGTGGCGAAACTTCTGCTTCTGCAGGACGACTACTTAGTGCAGGAGCCTGGGACGAGCAGAAATGGATAAACCACAAGGCCTGTAACAACCTTCGAGCATCGAGAAGGCATAGCCAATGTGTCCTGGATGATATTATCGTAGAGTATATAGAACATGAACTAGAGCACATTATAGCATATTCTAATATATTGCTATCGTATGTTATAGCATATTGTCGTACCTCGCAGTATATTATCGATTATTATCGCCCAAATGAAACAAAATATGCGCTTCGCTTGGAAATGCTTTCTGCGTCCTGAGCTCCTACGAAAGAACATCGGCTGGTCGGATCGACCCGGCTGACGTGCCCCTTTGAGGTTTAGGGTTGAGGGTTTAGTTTAGGGCGTAGGGCCTGCACGCAACCCTGCGTTTCTCAACGTCGAACAGGCCTACAGAGGCCTGCTGCGACGATTATCCCCCGTAAGCAGCCGAAAGGTAAGCTCTATCTACATGTGCGTACATACCTACGCACCTACATGCATACATGCAGACATACAGACTCTATAGGTGGAGAGAATCATAGATGGACAGATACAGACACAGACAGACAGATACACCGATAGTCAGATAGACAGTTATAGATAGATAGACAGATAGATAGACAAGACACACAGATGACAGACAAACAGACTGACAGACAGATAGATAAATAGAGAAATACAGTGAGAGCGAGAGAGAGGAAGAGAGAGCGAGAGAGAGAAAAGGATAGATAGATAGACAGACAAATAGGTAGGTAGGTAAGTAGATAGACGAAGAGATAGACCGACAAGGAGGGATAAGCAGACCGAGAAAGATCAAGAGAGAGATGGAGACACAGACAGAGAAAGAAAGAGAGAGAGAGAGAGAGAGAGACACAGACAGATCAACAGATAGGTAGACCAATGGATCAAAGTCTTGATAGATGGATCGATCAGATAGGAAAATCAAGAGATCGATCGATCGCTCGACCGATAGACAAATGGACGGATAGACTGCTAGACAGACTGACAAGCAGACAGACGGACAGACAAACACACAGACAGATAGATAGATGGACGCATGGATGCATTCATGCATGCATGCATATCCACCCATGCATGCATGGATGGATGGATGAATTTGTCGATGGATGGCTGGCTGGCTGGGCGGCTCGATGGATGGATGGATGGATGGATGGATGGATGCATGGGTGCATGGACGCATGGATACATGGAAGCATGGATGCATGGATGCATGGATGCATGGATGCATGCATGCATGGATGCATGGATGCATGGATGCATGGATGCATGGATGCATGGATGCATAGATGCATGGATGGCTGGCTGGCTGGCTGGATGGATGGATGAGTGGATGGGTACATGGGTAAATGGGTAGATGGGTTCATGGGTGGATGGGTAGACGGGCGTGGATAGAAAGATACACAGATAGAGTTAACTACATCTGTGTCAGAATGCCATCAGAAAGGGTGATGGGCACTGGTTTCGCCGTCTACGCACATCGTCAACCGAGATACGTCCCGACACCGGTTCAAAACTTCTAGAACCATATGAAGGACTGCCTTTAAACACTCAAACCCACAATTTAAGCCGTAAACCCCACACCCTAAATCCTTACAGCCTTCAACCCAAACCTAAACCCAAACTGGGACCATAAAGCCCAAGGCTCCAAACCCCCTGGAAATAAAAACCTACCAAACCCCCTATGAAAGCCCTTCTCCACCAGCTGTGACCCTCAAACCATAAACCCTAAAACCCTAAACCCTAAACCCTAAAACCGTAAAGCCCCAGCTTTAGCCCTCATGTCCCGGCCAACTTTGGGGCCAAGACCTGGAGAAAAAGCTTGGCCACGTCGCGGAAGCCCCTCCTAGGTTCAGGGCTTGCTAGGAGGGTCGGGGGACTTAGTAACTGGTTATTTTGAGGACTTCTCAGTACCATAACCCCAATTAGGGTCCCTTTTAGGGCACTTATAGGTCTACTTACTACCTACTTACTAAGTCCCCCGACCCTCCAAGTAAGGCTTAGGGGTTAGGGTTCAAGGGTTAGGGCTTAGGGTTTGGGGTCTCGGGGTTAAGGGTCTAGGGTTTAAGCCTTAATTATGGAATATACCTTAGATTATAAGGGGCTTCACGATATAATTTTGAGATATATACCATACTCCCTAATATCGGGGTATCGGGCTTTGTGGGGGCAGAACAAATCGAGGCGTTATGGCTCGCAGGAAAAGTGGACCGTGGAGGGAAGGGACTCGCAGTTGTTGTCTCGGAGATTTCTTAAGCTTGAGCAAGGCTCAATATAGGGGCCTTAATAGTTAAAATAGGGTTTTGGGGGCTCCTTTAAAAGGGCTAGGTAATGGCTACTATAAGGGTTCTACAATACAGGGGCCTTAATAAGTAGAATAGGGTTTTGAAGCCCATTATACTACGATAATAATGAGGAACCCAAAATCGTGTTGGCAATTACTTGGGCCCCTATATTAGGCGAAAGGTCCCGGCCCTTTGTGTTTTGTCCTGTCGTTTGTTTCTAGACCCGAAACGCTAAAGGAACCCTTAAAGGGGAAATCGCCGACCGGCCTTTTTGTGTCAGAAAAACCATACAGGGAGAGAGATAGAAGTGAAATTGCTGCGCGACCGAACCCTACACCCTACACCCTAAATCCTAGACCCCTAAACCCTAAGTCCCGAACCCCGAACCCGAAGCCCGAAACGCCCAACCCCAACAGTCAAAAGAGGAACTGGGACTCTTAAACGCTGCGAGACATAATTTTTCGAGCCCTTTCTGATTTGATGTAGAATACAGTTCCTTTAAAGGGTTCCGTTTCAAGGGATCTTTTGGGGATCTATGAGGGCTCTGCAGTATATAGGGGCATTCATACTTTAGAATAGTGGGTTTCGGAGTACATTCACAGTACATATGCATTCCGAAACCCTAAGGAAGAGTCTTGGCAATGATTCCGAGCCCTATCGTTACAACGAATTTGGATACCCTTTTTTACTAAGGGGTACATAAACGGAACGCCCTCAAGGGACCCAAGATGTTGCAGGGCTTCAAAGGGTCTCTAGCCTAGGGCATACCGAGGTTTCGGGGCTTTTGGGGTGCAGGCCTTGGGGTTAGTGGGGACCTAAACCCCTAACCCCTAAACCTTAGACCCTAAACCCCTAAACCCTAAGCCCTAAACCTTAAACCCTAAACTTAAACCTCAAACCCTAACCCTAAACCCTAAACCCTGGTGCCCAGGATCGAGAATCAACCGAAAGCTCGAAGTCTATGCTTCGGCATCGCCCGAAAGAGCGGGGAACTATGGCGGCCTCCAATGACTGAACCCCAAACCCTAAGTTGTGAACGAGATACAAGCCTGAACCCGAACTCGCCTGAGTTTAGGGTTGAGGGTGAAGGGCCTGAACCCAAACTCCTCCGAAAATCTCAGTACTTATCATAAGAATCAGCTCACCGGAATGGTCTCACAAAGCATTGCACCCTCTATATACAGCCCTTCTGCCCTCCGTCCCCGGGAAAACTTCACGAGGGCATGCCTTTGGAGCCCAGCGACTCAACAGCGACGGATATCGGTGTTTGGCCCGCATTGTCAGCAAGACCTGACTTCCGGGCTTCGAGAGAGGTCTCAAGGCTACGGTTTAGGGTTTAGGGTTTAGGGTTTAGGGTTTAGGATTTAGGGTTTTATGATCTTTTTGGGGCTTAGGGTTTAAGATTCGCTAGGTTAAAAGCACTGAGAGCTATTTGGGAGACTCCCGACTTGCCAAGGCGAAACCCCAAACCCTAACTAAAGCCAAAAGTTCCCCCAAAGCCCTCCCCAAAGCGAGAAACCCCGAGCCCAAGGGCTTAGCCCCTAACCTCTCGATTCCAAGTTGCAAAAGCCCCCATAACACCTTTGTACAGCCCGTTGAAAAAATCGCTGTGAAAGCCCTTTTGCAACCCCGCGTGGACCCTTGCCCTAATACCCTTCCGCAGACTTACGCAATCATCTTCGACGCCCGGGCGGCTGAGATCGGCTTCTGCTTTAAGCAGAAGCTTCACGACGTCCAAGAAGCCACACTCTGCTGCCGCGAAGAGCCTCGTATGCCATGCTTCGGTTGATGATATAAATCCTGCATGACCATTGTAAGGAATATACCATAATTCCCATAGTTTAGGATCGTTAAGATAATGCAGGATTTATATCATCAACCGTTTGCCTTACCTTTTGTTAGTAAGGAATGGAAGAATGGTAGTAATAGTAGTTATAACTGTACGCCATTCCTCCATTCCCTACTAACCAAAGGTAAGTTGCTTGCAGTTTGGGAGACGGAGTGATATAAGGGGTCTTAAACATTAGAATAAGATGTTTACAGGTTGTTAACAAGGGCTTCAATACAGGGCCCTAAACAACAGGAAGATGGTTTTCGGGCGGTATATTTAGAAATTTTAGTCGCTTCATAAAGGGAACCCCGAACATACTCTTGCAATGGGTCAAGCATCTTTATTCAGAAAGGTTTTTAGTACGGGGTTCAGGCTTGGTAATGTACTGTCTCGTCGAGCCAATGCAGGGTTTCACACTATACGACGTCAGGGCGCATGTCAATGTGCTAGAGTCTCGCCTGCTGGATACTAACCTCCAGGACTAGGTCGCATGCGTGACCCAGCAATAATGAACAAGGTTCTTCCTACCCTCAACCCCTAAACCCCCCCCCCCCCCGCCCCCCAACCCTGAAGCACTGAACCAACCCCTAGCCCGAAGTGCTAGAGTCGAAACACAAAAGTTAAAACCCTAAACTCAACGCAGTAACCCCAAACCCTAAATGCCAAAGCCTTGAACCCTTATAACTCTGGGAATGGCCCTACCCGAAACTCACAGCCCAGCAGCGGCGTCAGGCCATTTCGTTGGGCCTTGTTCACGTCGACGCGTCCCTCCACCTGGGGCACTCCAGTGTTCAGGGTTGAGGGTTTCTTCAGGTAAGTGTAGTGGCCCTTTTCCTTGTGCCCAACGGTCGGCTTTATCCGGTGAAGGGTCAAGGGTTTAGGGTCGGGGGTTTAAGGCTGTGTCTCGAAGGTCTAAGGTCTTGGGTTTTGGGTCTAGGATCTTTGTCGTTTCAGGGCTCGGTTTCTGAACGTTTTTGGGAGGGCCTAAACCCTAAACCCCCAAACCCTAAACCCTCAAACTCTAAGGTCTTACAGGGCTTTAGCATTGAGCGCTTTCAGAATCACTTCTCCGACACGACGGGACCAGAGCACTGCGCCCTCGAAAGCTCAAACCTAACTTCTCAGTCTCAAGACCACAAGGGGTTGAGGGTTACGAGTTTAGGACTTGGGGTTACAGGCAAACTGTCCATACAATACGATGTACGTACATCCGTTAAGGGTCTGTTATCATCCAACCGTATTCAGAAACCCTAAGGAATAGCAACTGGCTAGGCCTGGGTCCTACATTACACTCTTTGTCCAGCGGCCAGCAGCGGTATCCCTGAAAGCTTAAGGCCCTAAACCCCTCAACCCTATACACCTAAACCCCTGAACATTAAACATCCGAAACCCTAAACCCCTAAACCCTTAAACCACTAAACCCCCTTTAAACCCTAAACCCTACGACTTGGCTAAACCCTAAACCCTTTGGCCCAGAACCCCTACACCCTAAAATACCCCAAACATCCCCAGCCCTAAACCCCTTATAGATCCCTTTAAGGATCCCTTTTAGGAACCCTAAACCCTAAACCTTTCGGTCCAGCGGCCAGCAGCTGGATCAGGGCCACCTGGCCGCTTTTCACCGCGACGACCAGCGGCGTCTCGCCCCTGCCGTCAGCGAGGTTCACGTTGGCCCGCGCGTGCACCTCAGCGTTCAGGGTTTAGGGCTTAGGGTTTAGGGTTTAGGCAAGGAGTTGGATTTTCCAACATGCCTGAGTGTTCTTCCAAGGTGTTCTGAACTAAGGCGCGCTGCACAAAGTCGCATTGAGTTGGAGGCCTGCCTGAAATGAATGTTGATCCGAGGCACGAGCAATTTCACTGCCTTGACTTGGTTTTGCCGGATCGCCACCAGCAGTGGGGTTGTCGCCGTCGCTTGTCCTTGCTGCTACGACGAACCGACATGATGAGTATGGGACCTTCCCTGAGTTTCCCAGAACACCAACCTTGCAGCCCTTTCATGCATGGCACATGATAACGCTGCATGGAAATCTTGCTTGGTTTTATAAAGCACTTCCAGAAATCATTGGATTCAGCACAACTTGCTGCACTGGAGCCTCCATCATTGCAAGTTGTAAACCCCCATTGGCCCAACTTCCCCTTCGTTTACCTGCGTTTTCATGGCAGGATAAAGGGAACTCCAGAAAGTTGGAATATGGTTTCAGGGTAGGATAGCTTATAATTTACCATGAAGGGTTTAGGATAATCATATTCTGGCTTTTACTTTAGATCCCCAAACAGTGCTTGAGCACCACGACGACCATGACCACCACGACAACCGACCATCAGGAGACCGCCTGGAGACGACAAGCAAACTACCGGCAGAGCACCAGGAGAGCCCCAGAAGACCACCAAGGACAATTCAGAGGCATACACACAATGCTTCCCCACAATTTCGATCCCAGAAGGTCGCCTAAGTGTCCCAGACTGGCTGTCCGCAGGACGCGGTCTGTGTAAATAACAGGACGTGAGTGCAAAGTGCGTCTCTTCGCCATGAGCCTTTGAACCAAACATTCGCAAAACTCTGCTTGGGGAACAGGGATGATTATAACTGCACGTCGTAACCTTGTATGGAGTAGAACTAGTCACACTGCCCTTGATCCCTACTCTGCACTGTTCTAGTTCACCGATGAAGTTCACTAAAAAGGTGCCCAATCTAGTCTGCTTCAGGTATAATATACCCTATTCTAATTTTCGAAGTATACAAAACCTTACTCTGATCATTTTGGTACAGTATACCCATCCTAATCATTACGGCGGTATAGTATCCAAATTATTGAGGGTTTGATAACCCCACACCTACACCCTGGAGCTGGCGTTAGCAACTCTACTGTAGCTATCTGGCTCTCCACCCCCCCCCAGACTCTTGCACTCTACACCTCTGAACTCTGAACCCCCCTGACCGCCAAACCCTAAGCTGAAGCCCGAAACCCTGCAACTCTCCAACCCCTACACCCTACAGTATTGGTAATTATTGAGGCCCTTATAACATAGAACCCTACGATAGATCCCCAGAAATCCCAATACCCCTTAATTAAGGAATCCACCTTAAATCATAACAGGAGCCCCAATATGATTTAAGGTATACTCCTTAATTACGGGGTATTGGGATCTCTGGGTCCCTTATAGACCCCTACACTCCAAAAACCGCGCCGGTCCCCCTTGCATCGCATCCGGGTTGTACGGCCGACGGAGCCTCGAGCGTTCCGTGCTGTTCAAGTATCTGGACGGACCTAGCGAGCCCAATAGCCCGTAGTTACGGTTTAGGGTTTAGGGACTAGGCACCTCAAATTATTCGTGGTTGAATCTTATGGTTTGATCTCTATTCCTTCATGATGGGGTATTGGGCTCTCTGGTCAATGGAGTATTAGGTGCGATCAGCGTTTATGCTTGCACAGAAGGTTTCCTCAAGACTGCTGGGATCTCCAGCAATCGAAAAAGACTGCCACTACTACACTTGATAGGGTCTACTTTATTGACAGCGGCCCACCACAAAGAACATTTACTTGGTGGGAGGGGGCGTAACAGACGGTAGCAGCTGTTATATTGATGCATGCAATGCTAAGCTGACGCAAAACCTTCTCGCCTTTGCTTCTCTTACCTTTGGTTAGTAGGGAATGGAAGAATAGTAATAATAGTAGTTATAATTGTACCCCATTCCTCCATTCCCTAGTAACCAAAGGTAAATAACGTTATCGTCTTTGCTTCTGCCTAGCAACCTCGGCCCTCAAAGGCTGCCATTGGAACTGAACTCTCTCGGATTCCAAACACCCTAAAACCCTGAACCCTGATCTTAAAACAACACCCTAACCCGTAAACCCCTAAACACCCTAAACCCCTAAACCCTAAACCAAAGCCCTAAACCCTAAACCCCTAAACTCCTAAGCCCCTAAACCCCTAAACCCCCCTAAACCCTAAACCGTGGGACTTGGGGTCTGACCTCCGGATCTCCGATGCTTCTACCATCCCCAAAGCTTAGGGGGCTCTGGGTTGAAGCGAGATGCCCCTAACCGCATCCACAAAACATACCCTAGACCCTAAACCCCAAACTCTAAGCCCTAAACCCTAAATCGTAACCTATCCAGGGAGCATATCCTGGATCCTGAACACGCTAAACCCTAGGGCCGTAACCGCATCTGGGGAGCATACCCTCAACCCTAAACCCGCTAAACCCTAGGCCGTAACCGCATCCGGGGAGCATGCAGTCGATCTTCTTGATCTTTCCCTCTTTGCACGCCTCATGGAGCTTTTTGGTCTCTCCAGGTGCAACCTCCACAAAGTCCTCACACAGATAGGGTTTCGGGTGTTCTTTTACTATACATAGATCAAGGAACCCTCGGCCACATAAAATGGGGTTGTTGGCTCTTACACTATTAACTATAAATATATCACAGTAACCCGAAGGGATTACTGCCTTTCGGTGTCGGCCCTAAGCACATGCTCTCCGTAAACGTGCGAACCCCTGCAAAGCAGGCACCTCAGTGGAAAGGGAAGCGGATGGATCGCAAGTGGCAAGGGGGATGACGTTGCAGCTTACTTGGGGCATGTTCGTGGTCAGGGCTCGGCAAACTGCAACCTACGGTTGATGATATAAACCCTGCATTACCCACAATAATGAATATACCATAATTCCCATGGTTTAGGGTCCTAAAGGTAATCCAGGATTTATATCATCCACCGTAGCACCAGGAGGATGGCGGCTTCAGGCTGAACACACGAGCCGCTTCATATATGGCACCGTTGGACGGCCGGGCCCTGTTTTGCAAAACAGGGCCGTTAATCCAGCACACGGGGGTAGCAACCAGATCGTGCGGAATGCCGATGTTGCCGGGAGGGATGGCGGCAGTGTGCTGCACGTACGAGCCGCTTCATTGAACGCCGGGCACCATTCATGTGGCACTGCTGGATGGCCGTGACCCGATGAGCGAGACATGGCCGTTAAATCAGTGCCCTCATGGCGACGGTCCCTAAAGGAACCCTTAAACGGAACCGCTTAAAGGCCCCCTAAGCTCATTAGTTCGTCAGAACAATACCAGAGCAGGTTCGAGAGCTTCCCGACGTCCCACGCGAAAATCCTCAATCCTCCAACTACTTAGAGGATCATGGGAGGGTTTAGGGCTTAGGGTTTAGGGGTTTAGGATTTAGGGTCTGAACCCGTAGTTAGTAAGTAAGGTTGCTTAAAGGGATCTATAGGGTATCGGGTTTAGGGCTTACTTACAGGATATTTTGGGACTTAGTGAAGCAAAAAATACCTCCTTGGTTGGAGCTACAGGCAAGAGGAACTATACTTGCTGTATTTATAACCCTAGTTAGTAAGTCCCATGATCTCTAAGTAGACCCTAAACCCAAAACCCTGTAGATCCCTTTAAGGAACCCTGATTAAGGAATCCTTGAAGCCTTAAAGGAACCTTACTGACTAAGTCTCATAATCTCCAGCTGGGGCTTGGATTCAGAATTTCCTTTACGCAACGATTTTGGGATGTAAAGCTTTAGCTAGACCCTAAACCCTAAACCTTAAACCCTGAACGTCCCAAAACCCACAACCGTAAACCCTAAACCCCAAACCCTAAGACCCCAAACTCTAAACCTTAAGACCCTAAACCCTAAACCCTAAACCGTCAACCCTAAACCGTAAACCTAAACCTTAAACACTAAGACCCAAAACCCTAAGACCCGAAGACCCTAAACCCTAAACTGTAAACCCTAAATCCAAAACACCAGCACCCCAAGCCCCCAGTCTCCTGCATGACCAAGCTGAGATCTTGCGGTAGCTTCAGCAAATCCGACTCCGCAATCGCCGTGGTTGCAACGAGCTGGTGTCGGTGCCTGGGGTCTTCGATTCCCTTCAAGGGAACCCTACAATGGAGACCTGGAGCACCCTTTAAAGGGAACCCTACTGTAGAGCCCTGTAGTACCCTCAAGAGGAACCCTACCATAGAGCCCCCTGCTACCCTGAAGGGCACTCTCTCACAATGGGGTTCAGGGTTTAGGGCTTGGCGACACTCAGGTGTAAGGTTTAGGATTGAGGAAAGGAGGGGCTCGAGTACTTCAGAAGTATCCTACCACTCCTACGCGAGCTGGAAGCTCATGTGGGTTCAGGGTTTAGAAGCTCATGTGGAGGTTTCCGAAAACAGGGGTACCTTATTTTGGGGGTCCTTATAGTAAGGATCCTACTATTTCGGTACTATATCAGGGTCCCCTATTTTCGGAAACTCCCATGTGTCTGCGAGAAAGCTTTCCGGTGTGCAAGTCTCGAAACTGTGCAGGCTACGGACCCCAAACCTGAACCCAAAATCCCAAACCCTAGACCATGAATCCCAAACCCCAAACCCCAGACCCTCATCCTTTACTTACCGAATCTAGGGTTTCGAAGCCACATCCAACAGCCGGAGATCCGAATCTATACTTCCATCTCTGCGACAGTTTTCGACCCTTTTTGAAGCCCGAAGTAGACCCAGCCTCAGTTTTTGCTTTGGGGCTTATGGTTTCTTGTTGAGCGTACAGTACTCAGTGATGTTTTGGGGATCTAGGGTTAGGTTCAGGGTTACTGCACGCAAAGCCCTCGAGCCAGGCGGCGTGGCGAATCCCGTCGCGAAAGACAGCAGGAGCTTGGCAGCAAGGACACGGCTCCCGCAGGACTTTGCCACGGCAGCTATGTCCTCGGAAACACGGTCATGAACCTCTTGCTCCACAATCCGTACCCCTAAACCTTAACCCCTGAACCCTGAACCCAACAAATCCTGAGCCAGTCTTGCTACTCCAAGTCTCAACTTCGTAAAGGTCCACCACATCCCCGCTGAACTTCCGCACGCGGAGCAGCGAGGTCGGGTCCTGCGTCCGAGCCATCTCTGGGAGTTCAGGATTTAGGAATTACCTTAACCCTGAAAAACCTACCCTTTTAGGGCTCCTTACTATGATTTCTTTATAGAAGTCCTGGGTTTCAGGACTTAGGACTGAGGGTTTGGGGCTCGGGGTTTAAGGTTTTAGGGTTTACGACGTAGGATTCAGGATTTAGGGTTTTGGACTTCGGGTTTAGGGTGTATGGCTTAGGATTTAGTGCTGTTTGAAGATTAGGGCTTAGGGATTTTGGGCCTCAGGGTTCGGGTATATGGAAGGGTTGGGATATGTGATACAAGATCCTGAGCAAAAGTCCCACGAAACAGAACTACTAATTGTCCAGGCTTCTAAAGCGATACCTTTGCCCTACACGTATACGACACTGTTGTTATAGGGGCCTTAATAATTAGAATGCTATTCCTTCTGGCTCCTTTCTAGAAGTAGCCTATGACATATCCAAGAACACGTTTCTAATTTCTCACTCTGACTACGGCTAAGCCCTAAAGGGAACTCCAGAAAGTTGGAATATGGTTTCAGGGTAGGATACCCTATAATTTACCATAGAAGGGTTTAGGATAATCATATTCCAACTTTCTGGCTTTTACTGTAAACCCTAAACCCTAACCCCATTTCCTACGGCCCCTATGCATCTCAAAAACTTCTTCGATCGAAAGGCTGAGGAGACGGGCACCTGGGTCAAAAAAGCGGCACTGAAGCCGTTGTGGGGGTTGGGATCTACTTGAAGGCTCATGGGACTTAGTAAGTAAGGTTATAAGTAGGATATAATTAGGATAACCCCACTTAGGGGACTTCTACCCCCAATGATAACCTACTTACTAAGTCCCATGATCCTCTAAGTAGGGCTTAGGATTCTTTGGGCCGAGGATTCTGAGTTTGGAGGTTGGGAGTCTGGGGCTTCAGGGTGTAGCGCTTTGGGTTTCGGCGCTTTGGGAGCTTCCGAAAATTAGGGGTACCTTGTTTGGGGTCCTTATAATAAGGATCCTACTATGCAGGGTACTATATAAGGGTCCCCTACTTTCGGAAACTCCCATTTTGGGGTTGGTGTTTCAAGGCTCCTTCTGCTTCCACTTGGTCTGGCGCAGGTGGATGTTGTCCGCGATCATGGAGCGGACGCTCTCTGAATACACCTGCAACAACTGCTCCCAGTCATAATGGGCTTCGAGTTTAGGGGTTAGGGTTTAGGGTTAAAGTTTACGGGGCCAAAACTTCCGTGGTTTTCAGAAATGAAGGGACAGAAATTATGGAACCCTAAAGAAGTAGCATCCTGAGTATGTAAACCTCAACTAAGGTACCCTCATCCTCTGAAGCTTGCTTCTTAACCCTGACGATCGGAGCCCTCAAATGGTGGGATGAAGGCAGGTTGGATGACACGCATCCCTTATATAAGGACTCTTATTTTGGAATTACCCTAAAGCTAAAGCCCTAAACTCCATCCCACCTTTTGACCCTGAGAAGAGTTCACACAGGCAGATACATCAAACATCGGTTTCCCGACGAGTCTCCGATTATGCTAGTAATGGGCCTCAAGAATTAGAATTGGGGTGTGGGGATATAGTAAGCTCTAGGCATGCGCTTCTTGCAGCGCTTGACCTGGGAATGTTGACTTGCATGTGCATTCGAAAACCCAAGCATTGAACCCCAACAGAAAATACTAAACGCTAACTCATACTCCCCATATCCCAAATACAAGTTCTTCTTGTCTTGCTGCTACGGGCTCCTGGCCGGAATCCAACCATGCGCAGATCCCTCAAACTGCTTTTCTTAGTTTAACTCTTCGCACTACTAACAGGGTTGCTCTAATGGGTATTCCTGTTGCTATGACTGTTGTTTCTAGTGTCAATGGTCTCACTACTTACGAAAAGCTGGATCGAGGGAGCCTCCTCACCCTTAAACTTCGCGTTGTGCAAATCCATCAGGCGAGCCTGGCACAGGAGCAACAGTCCGTTTTGGTGCTTTTTGCGGGCATGTTGGGCTCTTCGGCTTTTCCCAGTGTTAGGATTCTAGCTTCAGTACAAACCCTCTAACATCCTATGAATCACGTCTCCGATGGCTTGGGGCGAAAGGGTTCATGATAAAAGTCTGAGCCTACGCTTATGCCAGAATGCTTTAAGTCATGCTTGAAATCTTGAAATAAACAAGTGGATTGATTACAGAGGCTGCGGAAGCCGGACAAACAGGAAACTCACCAAAAAATCACAAAGATACATTGAAGATTAACACATAAGTAACAAAACCGGCAAACCAGGCAAAATGCAACAGCGGGAACCATAAATACCTTTAGAAAACATCGCAAAAGCGGCCTTAAGCCCGTGGTAAGATCGATTGGTTTCCTAGCTTTTCTTGTCTTTCCTCAGGAAGTAGGAACAACAAAGCAAAAGCAGAAAAATGACAGCGCGAGAAGTAATGCGCAAATACCAAGAAGAAAGCAAAACCAATTAAACACCCAAAAGCTGTATGAAAACTCGCAGGAACCATAGAGACCATCAAAGAGCCTAGGAACAAGACTGCAGACAGAAACTACGCGAAAATCATTACAACACACCAGAGAGGGCAAAACATGTGAAACAACTGATTGCCCAGTGTGTTCCTCCTACCGTGATTGATTTCCTGAGTTTCCCCACCGTTTCTCCTGCCTATGTTGTTAACAGGTGTGGGTCTTCCTATTCTCCTGTATGTCTCCAATTTCCCTGTAACTTTCCCCCCCACCCCACTGATTCCTAGCTGGTTAATGTATGGAAAAGTAAGACTTTCCCATCTCTCTCCTAGTCCTAGTCTCTTGGCTCTGCCTCAAAAGAACACAGGACCTGCTCTTAAGCCTCCGGATGAACCTCAAGAGCCAGCGCTGCCCCAGGAATAATCCCCAGTCCTACAAGCACGCCATTCAGACCCAAGAGCCTCAACGCAATTAGTGAAGAAGGCTTCTAGGGCTCATATAACGGTTTGGGGTTTAGGGTTTTTTTTTGTTTTAAGGGTTTAGGGTTTAGGATTTAGGGTTTAAAGTTTAGGGATTCGGATCTTAGAGTTTAGGGATTCGGATCTTAGAGTTTAGGGCTTCGGATCTTTGAGTTTAGGCTTTAGGGTCCCTCAACCCTAGCTCACAGCTCCGCAGTGCGTTGCACCATCGTCGCGCCTGCTCCCTAAACCACAAACTTGGTGCCCCTTTAAGGTGTAAGGGCTTCGGGTCAGGTTTGGGGTTTAACCCTAAGCCTCCCAAAGAGGCAATCCCTCAAGACCCAGGACACCTTTACAGCCGCCAAACACCAACGCAAAGCCAATACCTAAGCAAGAAAACCCAAAGTACCCAACCGTAAACCCCGTCGGAAAGCTTGAAAACCCTGAAAAGCCCAGAATTCAACAGAAAAAGAAAGCTGAAAAGAAAAAAAAAAAAAAACTAAACCCCGCCAGCAGAAGGCAAAAAATGCACCGAAGCGCAGTAGAGGCCTGGAAGGTGCTGAGGAGGGTCGACCCGACTGAGCCTTCTTCCATCCCCGGCCCACAAACCTGATGGTTTTTCAGTCTTTTCTTGGTGTTGGCGATTTAGCGTTTGGGGTTTGGGTGCTTTTGTGGTTTCTTGGGGTTTTGGAGGTTTAGGGTTTGGGTGCGTTTATGCTCACAAACCTGGTGGCTCAGAGTCTTTTCTTGGTGTTGGCGATGTAGGGGTTTAAGGCTTAGGGTTTATATAGGGGTTGGGTTTCTTAGAGTTTTTGGGGTTTGGAGGTTGAGGGTTTAGGGTGTTTTGGGGCTTGGACTTAGGATTGTTTTCGAAGAGGGGGGAGCGGTGGGCTAGGCTAGGATGTTGCGCTTGGGGTTTCGCAGGGCATTGGTCGTTTAGCAGGGTTCTTTTTATGGTGGCTTAGGGTCTTTGGTTGTTTTGTGGTTGTGAGCTTTGGGGTTTGGGTGTTCAGGTTTGCATACATGAGTGTCCGGTTCGGAGTCCAGGGTTTGCACAACATAGGGGCCTTGAATCATGAGAATGGGGTTTTGGTGCATAGCATATCAGCAAAACATCGGAATGGTATTGCTAAATATTCTGTGTTACTTTGGCTGGTCCGAAGACTGCCCTCAACCGGAACCCCCGAGCTTATGACCACGCACTCTTCGACCGAATGACTTTGAGCCCTCACCTTCTTGAGCCCTCACCAGCAGGGCGAGACAAACGCTGAAGAAACCAAAATAATTATAACCCCCGTATTTCCGGAGCACCTAAAGCCTAAACCCTGAACCCCAAGCCCGAAACCCTCAATCTCAAGAACCCCAAAGCCGCTCAGTTCTAGTGTCCAACAGGAAGCCGAGCCTCCAAGCCAAAACCCACGGAGGCCCAATGACCCGTCTAGTTCAGGGCATTAGGGCTTGGGTTTAGAGGTCAGGGTTAGGGCCCAAAACCCCCCAAAACATGCATCGAACCTCCAGCAGCGCGCAAACACACCTGAGATGTCTCCGATAATGCCCGAAGATTTCGGGTGATTAGATTGGGTTGAGAGGGCTATTGTATAGACTAGAAAATGTGCCAGGGAACCTTCGGAAGCGGTAAAACTAACTGTTCAGGCCTCCATGGTGCCCCAATATCCAGGAGCATAAAAGCTGGGAAAGTCGTGAGTTCGAAATCGGGTGGAGGGCTAGCAGGGTTTAGCGTTTACTGAGAGGATCATGGGACTTATTAAGTAAGGTTATAAGTAGGTTATAATTAGGATAACCCCAATTAGTGGACTTATAACCCCAATTACAACCTACTTACTAAGTCACATGATCCTCTAAGTACTCCCTAAACCCTATAGACCCCTTTTAAGGAACCCTATAGATCCCTTTAGGGAGCCTTTAGGGCTAGTGGGTCCCAGGCCGAAGGAGGGCAGCCGCCAGGAATTAGGATTGGCGAAAAGCATACTCTGGCCTTCAGTGCTGTCTTCGGTCTTCAAAGCGATCACAAAGAGGGGGTTTAGGGTTTATAGGGCCCCAAACAAGCACATAAGCAAAAATTAGGATAGGGATATCCCATATAAACCCCCTTTATAAGGAAGCCCAATAAGGTAGGGATATCCCTATAAAATGCTTACGCTTATGTGCCTTTTTGGGTCCCTAGTTTAGGGTCTGGATCTTCAATGCACCGAGCTGCTCGATTTGAGTGGCCTCCGGCAGTTCGGAAGTAGGCTCTTTCATACCGATGAGGTCGTGCACGACCTGGCCGATGACCTGGTGCTCCCGGCTCTATGTTAGAAGGGGCCCCCACCCTGTTATAGTGGTATAATAGGAATATAATCGGGCCCTAATATAATCCTTATTGTCACCATTACAGGGTGGGGGCAGCTTCTAAGAACTTCTAAACTCTATGGTTCCATTATTCTTGCTTCGGAATTCGCTGGGTGTTGGTGTTCCTGGCTTGCAACTCGGTGCAAAGCCTGGCCGTTCCTACCAGTTTCGACATGCGCTTCTTGCAACAACCCTGCCATCCATATAAGGAGTAATCTCAAAAGTCGGAATACCAGTCGTTCATGACATGTCCCAGTGTAGTCTTCCCAGAAGAAGAAATGCTCCAAGACCCTATCTAATTGTTCAGGCACCTATGCTACGCCTCAGGCGGCAATCCGGGTGGTCTAAGAGGCGCAGACCCAAGCAGTCTCAAAAAGGAACCCTAAAGGAATCCCAAAAAGGAAGCCGCAAACGACGCGAGCAGTAATATGGAAGCCTGGACTAGTATCAATACCATCTCTTGGGGTTCCGTACTATACTTATACTGTAATGAACTCCGAATCCTTATTCCAATTCTTTACAGTAGGCGTTTAAGACCTTTAACGGAAGCCTCAAAGGAACCCTTACGCATTATTACTCACCTTTCGCTACCCTTCAAAGGAACCCTTGAGCGGGACTCTCTTCTACTAGTAGAGCCGACCTGATCCTCGCCTTGTGCTGAGCCCAAGCCTCTCGACCCGGCTTAGGATCGGCTTAGGGAACGAAGCCTTAGAAGAGCGGAAGAGCGCATGCATTTGGCAGAAAAAACCGGGAACGAGCCCTAAACTAAACTGGCCTTGGTCGCCAGTAGACCCCGGAGATGAAGATGTGCAAAGAGTTTCCTGGCCAAGTCTGGGTTTCGGGGAGCACGCTCGATGTTGGGGATTTGGGGTTTAATTCACTGTGGCTTCTTTAGGCATGCAGGCATCCTGCCACCACTATCTCCTCCCACCTACTCGCTCAATCAGGTGCTGATAGGGAGGGTGTTGATGTTGGGGGCCTGTTGGGTTTCGGAAGGCATCCTTAGCGAACTTTACGGAGTACCAGTGAAAGCTGTATATCCCTTGGGCCCCCTCGCTTCGGAGACCATAGAAAAGTGAAGGAGTTTTGGCTGGCCTGTGGTAACCCGGTAACCAAGTCGAGTAAGGGTTTAGGGTCTAAGGTTTCCGGGATACAGAACTTCAGATGCCAATACTTCGAAGTCCACCTTGGGCGCTTTGAACTTTGGGGCGACGCATGGCAACCCAACTCCCACCAAGCGCAATCTGAATCCGATCACGTCGGGTCTGTCTATCCCAAACACGACCCTATAAAAAGATGTAACAACATTCTAAACCCCACGAAACCCGCTAAAACCAAAGCCTGCCAATAAGCTATAACCACGCTTTAAACCCGAAAAAAACCTACCCTGCGGATGGTCCGAGGGGCAAAACAGCCAACATGCTGTCCTTCCTGCGCGCAAGCCTCGGGTTGTCACGCCGAAGTGTTTTCCGGGGTTTGCGTTTGCAGGCTCCTACATCTAAACCGCAAACCCCAAACCCTGTCTTTTGAAACCAGGTACATAACACTTTGCTTCGCAAGATGGTTTTAGGGCGTAGGGCTCAAGGCATCGCAAACGACTCGGTAGAAGATGCTCTCCTGCAGGTCAAACCCTTTTGGCAAAGGGAACAGTCAGTTGAAAAGACAAATGTTTATGTTTGCAATTGCAGGTAGCAGGAAGGTCGAAAATTGAGATATTTCGAGATGATATGGCAACGAAGCAAAACCAGGTGTGGCTGTTCTATGTGCATCCTGCTTAATTCTTTTTTGCTATTGCAGTCTGGCGGACGGCATCTAACCACATGCGAAAACCTTCAGGATGTCCCATGCCTGAGTTGTGGCATGCCCATATTCGAAAGATTACCAAGCCCTCGCCTTCAAAATGTTTCTGGCTGGGTACCCGTTGAGATGCAAGCGCCACTTGTGGCGATCCGAGTGCGCCGGCAATACGCCCAAAATTCGGCATCCAGTCCATCTTTTTATGAGAGCCCATTCTTACTCGATAAGATCAATTGTGAAGCCCCTACTGTTCTTTGTCTCTCCTTCACGGTGGTTCACGATTTCGTGCTTCAGCTCTGACTCAATGAGGCGATGCGTCGAACGAAATGACTTGCACAGTCGTCGGCATCTCCTTGTGACGTCGCAGTTTTCCTTCAAAGGCGTCATCGGGAAAGTTGAGGATTCGGAACATGAAATGCGTGTGCATGTGCCCTTGTAAAACAGCACCCCAAAGCCAGATATGATCATGTTGAGGGCGTCCATAATTTGCGAGAATGCTTGGCTTGCGCTGTTGAGGCGAGCTTCGTCGGCGACGAAGATCATGCCTTGGAATTGAGCCTTTTTAAGAATGCTCTTCTTCACACTGAGTTTTCTTGTATGTTGCCAAGCTCGAAGAATGGCGGAAAAAGCCGTGGAGGGCATTCTCGGGCACGTGGTGACGGAGCTTGACCTATGTGCTGCACTGTTTTGAGATCTCGAAACAAACGGCCGTGCAACTCGTAATAGAGCTGGTTATCGAACCAACTGCTCAAGATATGCTGGAACACTCTCATTCATGGATCCATGCTCGTGTGGCTGAGGGGATGCAGTTCACGAAGCAGTGGCTGACAATCTGGATCCTCGAAGCAGTGGCTGACAATCTGGATCCACATAATCAGGAATCCGATAGAAGTTGCTGAATAGTCTTTACCGTACAATGACACTCATGGCAAGCGTCGTCATACCGAGGGCCCCAGCATTTGTGCATTCGCATTTTGTAACATAAACATCTTGAAAATAGCGTGGCAATGAGGACACCGATGTTCTCGAGGGACGAGACGCAATGCTTGGCAAGCAAGTGGAGCCCGGGTGGACTTGTTGTCAGGCAGCGACCCACAATTCAATACCTGGCTGTGCTTCACGATGGAAAGGAAGGAGGCTCGGTTCTCATATCTTGCGGCTAGCATAGCCTCCCGAAAGGCTGACCAATCCGTCAAGAACTGGAAGAAAACTGCCCATCAATGGGCCTTTTTCCAGCATGCGAGCTTTGACAAAGTATCGCACACACTATATGGCTTTTCGCTGCCGGCAGTGTCTGAATGTGTGTGTGTGTGTACCTTTCATTTCGCAACATGAGAATTTCCGAAATTAGGGGACCTTATTATAATACCCTAAAGAGTAGGGTCCGTATGATAAGAACCCCCAAATAAGGTACCCGTAATTTTCGGAAACTCCCACATGGCAGTATGAGAGAGCTCATGGTTCTGCTCCCAGCTCAATTTCAGCTCATTGACAAGAGCGAGCAGATCGGTGATGTTCGGCCGCTTCAAATGCCGGCTAGGCCTTTCAGGTCTTGCGGGGACAACTTGGAAAATCTTCGAACTCGGATAGTATGCATTGCATATTGAAGATGTCGACGCGTAGAGACTGAGCCGATACCATGCATCAGGTCACCATTGGCGAAACCGAAATTCCTGCCGGTCGTAGTCCAACAAGCAGCGGTCGAGTTCGACCGTGGACCTCTTGGATACTGCTCTCATTTAGGAATTTCGAAACAAGGATACCAGTACGAAAGCCGTTTACTGCATGAGTGCAATAGCCGAGGTATATCTTGCATAAGGCATGTCATAAGATGAAGCCGGGGCGAACCACCACAGTCCCCACACCAAGAGCGAGCTGCTACCCCATCCCTATAGTGCTTAGGGTTTCGGGTTTGATTGGGGTTGAGGGCTAAGGGTTAGGATTTAAGGTTTAGGCTGTGGAGTTTAGGGTTTCGAGATAAGGGAAATACAGTTCGTCCGACAAGTGGAAACCATATACCCTAAACGCCTTGACCCCTAAATCATAAACCTTAAACCCTGAACGCCCAAACCCCAAACCCTATAAACCCCTAAACCCCTAAACCCTAAACCCCTAAACCCCTAAACCTCTAAACCCTAAACCCCTAAACCCCAAACCCGCATCCCCAAATTCCATGCTCGGGAGCTCTGCTTGGAGGTCGGCAGGCTCGGGGTAGAGCGCCCGATCCTTACCAGAGAATCTTGGATCGTTCCGAGGTCATGCCTGCTTTCTTCCAACTCTTCCGAAGTAAATTCTGATAAACATAAAGAATGAAATTACTAAACCCTCACCCTATATGCTGATGAACCTCAAAGGCTAGCTCAAAATGAGAACAGCCCCCACTCAATGGCTTCTGGTGGCATCTATCTCGATTCGGTGACCTCGGCTAAAACTCAGGGCTTAACGGTTAAGGTTTAAGGGTAAACGACCGAAGCTCTAAGACCCTAAACCCCACAGCCTTAAACCTCAAGCCCAACAGATCTAAACCCTACAACCCGAGCCGCCCTTGACATGTCGAGAAGGCGGGGGCCTTAATTATTAGAGTAGGGTTTTGGGCTCCTTCATAGTAAAACTTATCGTATACTTCTAATAAAATCACCGTATAGTTAGATAGTATAAAGTATTAAAAAGTATAGTTATTTCAAGGAGCCCTCAGAATAATTCTGTAGGATACTATATTAGGCAAGCTGCCGCGTCGGTTGCCTCGAAAGTGAAAGAGCAGGGATGGCTCTCGTATAAGTCTTGGCCTGAAAGCACGGCTTAAGGTTTAAGGTTTAGGGTTTAGGGTTTAGGGTTTAGGGTTTAAGGTTTAGGGTTTAGGGTTTAGGAGTTAAGGTTTAGGGTTTAGGAGTTGAGGTTTAGGGTTTAGGGTTTAGGGTTTAGGGTTTAGGAGTTAAGGTTTAGGGTTTAGGGTTTAGGGTTTAGGAGTTGAGGTTTAGGGTTTAGGGTTTGCGGTTTACTTAAGCCTTGAGCGGTTTGGGTTTGCTTTCAGGTTCTTATAAGGGGTTCATACGCAACATTTCGTCTGTGATTTGGTTTGCAAAGCTTTAGGGTATGGTTACATCGCGATGATAAGCGGCAGGAGATTTTGCTACTCAGTATTCAGACCTCGAGATTCGGCTATCGGCTTGTCTACGAGCCTCCTAATTGCAAAGACGACACGACCGATGCCCTAAACCCTAAAGAATAGTAAACCCACGGATACCCGTGATCTGCCACCGGCTGTGAGACCTTCAAACGAAGAACAGCCACCAATTGCTCAAAACCGTGTGACTAATGTGGAGTCTTGACTTGCATCTGAAGAAAGGTGCAGGATTTCATTTTCGGGGACATGCAGTGATTACGGGTGTAACTCCCGTCGTCACCGACGTTCACTGACTAAGATTTATATAGACCCTATGCTCAAGACCCTGTTCGAACTGCATGGCTTTAGGTAGGAAGCTCGAAGTGTAAAGGCCCACGCCCAACACAGGCCGCGCCCGCAACAGCAGCAAGACTGGAACAAACACCCTAAACCCCACAAAGCCCGAAACCCTGAGCCCCTAAACCCTAAACCCTACTATAGATCCCGTAAAAGAAGCCGTATAGATCCCCTTAAAGGAAGTCCAAAGCCCTAAACCAAACTCTCCGAGAGGAGGCCCGATTAGGTCGAGGCACAGTTGTTCAGCAGCACCTTGAGTAGCTTGGGTTTAGGGTTTAGGGTTTCGGGTTTAGCTTTGGAGTTAGGGGGATATTATCAGTTTAGGTTAGGGGGATATTATCAGTTTAGGGTTCAGGGTTTAGGGTTTAGGGTTTAGGGTTGGGGCCTTTTCCGCATGAGGTCCAGCCGGTTTCCGGCTTGCACTACCACAGGGTTTAGGATTTCGGGTTTAGCTTTGGAGTTAGGGTTAGGGCGTGGGGAGGAGGGTTTGGGGTTAGGGTCTGAGTCAGGGAGATGTTGTAAGGGTCCCATACTGAAAGGGATGCAGAGTGGCCACGAAATTAGCAGGCGTAGACTTAAGGTGTTCAGGGAATTCAGGGTTCGAGGTTTTGAGTTCCAGGGATAAGCTTTTTTTGCTCTATTCGAGCTTTAGAGCTGGTTTTGTGCAAGTCTGTGGCTCTGGGGGCTGAGGCTTCTATCTTAAGCACAAAAACCTGCATAACACCGCATGAGAAGCCTGAGCACATAAAACCCTAAACCCTAGACCCTAAACCTGCAAAACCCTAGACCCTAAACCCTAAACCCTACACCCGAAACCCTGAATTCCTAAAACCTTAAACCCTAAACCACCCAGCCCAAAAGAGGAGTTCAGAGCGTAGTCGGTGGGCTTATTAAAGCCCCTAGTATAGGAACCTGATTAAGGAACCCTGGGTCTATAGGCCCAAAGATAGTAGGATTCATAGAAGGAACCCTAACAAAGGCCCCAGGTTTCTGAATCAGGTTCCTACATTACAGAAGCCTCGTTCGGGGATGGGGACTCCTAGGAATCGATTGCGAGTCCAACTTTGCGCTTTTGCTTTCGGGCTTGGGGCTCTTTGGCCCAATCTCCCCAGAAACTCGAGTTTAGAGTTTCGGGTCCAGGGTTTAGGGCTTCGGGTCGAGGGTTTCAGGATTTTTCTGTTGAGCACCTTTGTCCGCCTAGCAGTTAAGGTTTCAGGGTTTAGGGTCTAGGGCTTAGGTTTTAGGGTTTAGGCTTTGGGGTTTCGGGTTTGCAGAAGGAAAACCGACCGCCCTCGCGACCTCCTTCTCGCTTCGAGAAAGGTTAAGACTCAGCCCAAAGCCCCGCATTGACGGTGCTCCTTAAAGGGATCTCTAGGGTTCCTTAAAGGGGTCTATAGGGTTTAGGGAGTACTTAGAGGATCATGTGACTTAGTAAGTAGGTTATAATTAGGGTTATACTGCGCCAGGACGAAAGTTCGTCGCATCCGGTAGGTCTGCTAACCCACAGTTGCCAACCCCTTTCCCGCATAGACTCCTTCACGAAGTCGCAATGTCAGGCCCGGACCTCACTAATTCCTGCGTCGGAACAAAAAAACAGTGTATGTCTATTTTGGCATGGAAATTCCTCCGCTAGCCAGGCCACGTAAAATGCACTTCTTCGTACTCCGAGTCCTCCGCCAAGCAAAGACATCTTAGTGCGACAAAACTTTCATCCTGCTGATGTAAGTCTGCTAAGTGGGGCTATCCTCGTTTTTACCTCCTTACTTCCTAAGTCCCATGATCCTCTAAGTAAACTCTGAACCCTAAACCCCGCATTGAGGGCAGCACCCGGGTGAAAGACCAGGGTTTCTTTGCATCGGCTTCGTTGCGGAATTGCGGATACCGCGCCTTGGGCAGGCGGGTGATACGGTTGCAGCGTGGTTTCCCCAAACCACGACCCGGAACCACAAGCCCTGTTTAAAGCCCCAGAATCCTAAGCCCCTGCAGCTTTAAACCCTGAATCCCTAAAACCCCGGAACCTTAAAATCCGACAGACTGTAGAGGCTTCCTGTTGAAGCCGGCGTCATATAAAAGCTTCGCCTGAACCCTAAACCCTGGCTCTTATTTGCCCTTCCAAGTTTTTTCGGTACACTTCTGCGACACTTGCGCAAACGGTACGCCTAAACCCGAAAACCGTAAGCCTAAACCTGAAAACCGTAAGCCTAAACGTCAAACCGTAAGCCTAAACCCGAACACCGTACTAGCACCCTTATGGGAAACCTCGAAGCAACACCACCGTGTTCTGAGACCAACAACTTCGCTAGCCATGGTGCCCTCAAGCCGTAAAGTATGTCGGCGAAGGAGGCACCTGGATGGTGCGTCGGTATATAGCTTGAGGTTTAGGATGTAGAGTTTAGGGTTTATGTAGGGATTTAAATGCTTTGGGTTTAGGGTTTCGGTTTTGGCTGCAGAGATTGAAGATTTCGGGTGGAGGGTTTGCGGTTGGGGGCGGTACGCCCTGGCGGTATTGATGGCAGCCGTTTATGAATCCGGGGCGTACAAGAACGGCTTAGGGTTCTCGACTTTGGGGGTTCGAGGTGCAGGATGTGGAAGCTTCATATGGAAATCTCTGCGGCTCGGCGACCTAAACCGTAAGCCGAAGGTGCACATACTGCTATGTCTTGACCACTTACATAGAGGCCTTGATGAAGCCAATAGGGGTTGTGGCATACTATCGTATGGTATGAGAATGAATATGTGTATGCCTATATCATCCTATAAACCCTAAACCCTAAACCCTAAACCCTAAACCCTAAACCCTATATCATCCTATATATACACAAACATGAATAATAGTGGCAGCCCGGATGCTATGATCAGGCTCCTGAACGGCCTGGCACAGCAGCAAGAGAGGTTTAGTGCGCATGTGATTCGGCTTGGGGCTCCCCAATCCAAGCCTTAAGCCATAATCCGTGAACCACAGTTTTGACAACTTTGCCGTCGATAGTCCGTGAAGGATCACATCTTTACGACCTGCTGTTGAAGTCTTTCTGCCCGGAACACTCTACGAAACCACCAGAAAACGGAGTGGTTTATCTGTCAGCAACCCTGGCGAGCGGGACATGCCACCCCCGCCTTCTTAAAAATGATCTGGATCAGGTGACCCAACTCCTTGCGCGCAGAACCGCGTTGGTTTGAAGACGATTTAATATGGGGCCTTTCAATAAGTAAGAACAGCATAGAATAGCCTTTCGGGTGTATGCGTGTGTGTGGTGTTTCACAGAATAGTTTCACATGGAAAATATGCAACATACTCCTCATGTAGACTCCTGATTTATAAACCCCCTCCCCCTCTACCAATAAGAAGTAATAGGAAAAGAAACAGCCACACTGTAGAACGAGGAGGTTTCTCAATCAGAGGTCTACATTAATACTCATTCAAACCTTGCATGAAGCCAATGGATGGGGCCAAGGAAATCGAATCACGATTCCAGACTTCAGGGTGGTTCGATTTCCTAGACCTCCAAAAGTAGTAAAATAATGGCCCAAAACCTCTAAAAGGATATTATTCTACATACTTTTGGGGTCCAGGTTAGGGTTTTGGCTTAAAGGTTATGTTCTTCGCCTCGAAGCATTAGCGGTTCAGACCTGGGTTGCTGTTTACGTCTTGGAAGCCCTGAACCCGAAAGCCAAACACTCTGAACCCACTAAACCGCTGGTAATTCTGGGCGGCGTATGGCTAGGGTTTTGGGCTCAGGGCTGCAAGACTTGCCGTGTTCTGTGGCATAGCCTTGCGTCAGCTGCTCCGTCCAAAACCCGAAACCCTGTACCCGAACTGCCTGGGCCACGCACCCTTCAAAGGCTACGGCTTCCGTGTTTTTTTTGTCCTTGGGACAGCCTGTCAGTCGTTGTTGGGTCGGTTTTGCTGAGTTCTGACAAGCGCAGGGCTTGGTCTCCTTCTGTTACAGTCGTAGCAACATCGTTTTTTCATGTATGCTTACACGGCATCGCGTGATTGAAAGCTTGTATCAATCTGGCCCTACGCTCCCTGGCACCGCTTGGCACCACCCTTGCAAACCCTGGAACGCTACGCAGTACCTCCCAAGCCCCAAAACCTGAACTGAAGGCTAAGCCCGAAACTCGAAACTCAAAGTCCTCCTTATTGTCGAGCTTGATCTTCATCAGCTCGTAAACTACCATAGGAACATTGTCCTCTTTCAGCTCACTGAGGAGGCGGAGGGCCTCGCAGACACCCTAAACCCTAAACCCCTAAACTGCGGTCCAGACCAACAAAGCTGGCCCCAAAACCGTGGAAGCAGATGTCGAGGCCCCGACATCAGAGGAGATCGTCGCCATCCGGTCAAGGGAGTACTGTGGCTAAAGGGGTTTAGCAGTCAGGTGTAGTTTCAGGCAAAAGGGTTCGGATGGGACGAAGGACCGACTCGGTAGTTTCATTGGAGTTGGAGGGAGTGATAATCATAATCTGGATTTAAAGTCTAGAGCTTTGGATTTTGTAGTTCAGGCTTTAACACCCTAAACCCTAAATCGGTAAACCCCTAAATCCCTAAACCTCTCAATCCCTACACTCCCGAGCCGTGGACCTAGGGCTTATAAGGTTTAGTGGGGTCTATGGGTAAACCCTATACACCCTATACCATCCTATACTCCCTAACCCTAAACCCTAAACCCCAAACGCCTAAACCCTAACCCTACAAGTCCTTAAAGGTAGGTCGTTTGGGGTTTAAGGTTTAAGGTCCCCAGAGAGCCCAACACCCCTTAATTAAGCAACTATTATGATTACAGGTATATTGGAGTCCCTAAACCCTAAACCCTGTAGATCCCGTATAGATCCCCTAAAAAAAAAACCCTACATATACTCCTTAGTTAAGGGGTAGGACCCCGGGGCTCCTCGCCGTTCTCCAAAGGGAACTCCGGGCAGGCGAAAGCCCAGAGGCAGAAGATGATACGAAAGCCTCCTCGCAGTGTGGAGGGGTTTAGGGGTGGAGGGGTTTAGGGGTTTAGGGGTTTAGGGGTTTGGGGTTTAGGGTTTAGGGGTTTAGGGGTTTGGGGTTTAGGGGTTTAGTGCTTAGTGTTTAGGGCCTCCTCGCGGTTGAGCATCAGGGTTTTAGGAATTCAGGGTGGCAGGGTTCATCGCAGTTTGAGCATCATGGAGTTTTGGGGTTTAGGGTCATGGATTTAGGATCGAGGGTTGAGGGTTCAAGGTTTAAGGTTTAGGGTTGAGGGTTGAAGGTGTAGGATTTGGGTGTGGGGCTTCCGGGATTTAACTCAAGTGGGGCCATTACTACTGTTATTACTGTTATTTATATTCTGATTAGCAGTAGCAGTCAATAGCACAAGAAATCTCACAATGCCCTTGGCACCCTGAACCCTATACCCCTAAACCTCTAAAGCCCTAAACCCTCAAACCCTAAAGCCCGACACATCCCTTTAAGGATCCCTTTGAGGATCCCGTTAAGGAACCCTTCAAGTAACCCTAAAACCCCCTAAAGCCAAAAAGAATCTGGCAGAAAACCAAAACCTCGAACGTCCGGAGCCTGAGAGAGGCAATGCCGCGGCCATGAGCAGCGCGCTCCTCGGGGCTTTGGGGTTTTCATGGGGCTCCTTAAAGGGATCTCCAAAGGTTCTACAAAGGGTTCTATACAGGGATCTACAAGGGTTCTATAAACGGGTCTATAAGGGATCTAAGAGGGTTCTATAAGGGTTCTATAAGGGGATCTATAAGTGACCTTTAGGGCTCTGGGTTTAGGGGTTTTGGGGTTTTGGGGTTTTGGGTTCCTTAACGGCTTCCTAAAGCATTCCAAAAATGTTTCTGTTTGGTGTGCCATAAGGGTTTTGGGTTTAGGGGTGTAGGGCTGAGGTTGCAGGGCTTCGGGGTTTTAAGTTTAGGGGTTTAGGGGTTTAGACTTTAGGGGCTTGAAGGGTTAGGGGTTTAGGGTATAAGCCCCTTTGCCGCAAAAGGAGATATTTTATTGCAAACAACAACAAAGCTACACTGAACTTAAACCCCTAGCAAAAAGTATAATTTTAGCGGCTTTCTCGGGGATTATAGGAACCAAAAATCAAAACTATTTCTAAGTACCCCTCAGAAACCTAAACCCTAAACCCCTAAACCGAAACCCTAAACCCAAAAAACTATTTCTAAGTATTCCTAAGAAACCCTAAACCCTAAACCCCTAAACCCTAAAAACCATTTCTAGGTGCTCCTAAGAAAATGAAAAGGAGTTCCAAAGGACACCCATGGCTCAGCAGGCGGCAGGCAGCGGGTTGCGTGTGGAAACCCGCGCCTGGAACAAGGGAGTTCTGAGGGGAGGTAGGGGTTCAGAGTTTATAGGGTTGAGGGTTTAAGGTTTAGGGTTTAGGGTTTGGTTTAGGAGTTTGGGGTACTTGGAGGGTTGGGGGACCTTGTTATTTTAGGGACTTATAAGTAACATAACCCCAAATTAGGGTACCTTTTAGGGTACTTATAAGTCTACTTACTACCTACTTACTAAGTCCCCCGACCCTCCAAGTAGGGGTTCAGAGTTTGGGGTTCAGGGTTTTTGGGGTTTGGGGGCTTATGGGGCTTAGGGTTTAGGGGTTTAGGGCAGGTTTTAGGGCTTTAGGGCTTTAGGGTTCAGGGGTTAGGGAGTTGAGGCTTTGCTGCTCGTTGTAAGAACTGCTGCAAAGATTGCATTCTTCAGGGTTTAGGGATTAGGGGTTGAGCGTTATGGCTTCGGGGTGTAGGTTGCTTTAGGTTCTATGGTCATTTCCCGATTTTCTCTATACGACATCAGGACAGACTGCAGGAACTATCGCAACTCAAAACAGACTGCGGAGAGCCTTTGGACTTGGGAGGGTTCAAACTGACAGCCACAACAACTAAGGCACTCCTAGCACAAACCCTAACCCCTTACAAACCCTAAACCCTAAAACTATCAGAAGGACCTGCCGCATTAAACCGTTTAGTACGAACCATATCTTCAGGCCCCTTCAATAAATTACCCCCGATTCTCTCATCTCTTGCCTGATGCCCCGGGCTCTCAAAATCACCAATCCAAAACCCACTCCGAGTCTCCTTAGAACGTTCGAAAACCTGTTGAAGTTCCTTGTCACTACCGCCCCGCCCCACCCCCTCCCCGAAACTCCCCTGCGGAACAGCACCGCACGCACCGCTGCTTCAGGCATCTGTGCGAACAACGAGCTCTGAGCCACTGTCCTGTGAACCTTAATCTCCAAACCCTGAACCATAAACCCTAAACTCCTAAACCCGCAAGGACTTCGAAAGCCGCTTAATTGGTGTTTCCTTCCGCCCTGCACCCGGAAATCAACTCTCTGACAGCGTACCACAGGCTGCTTGATGCAAGCGTCTGAAGCCCTACAACCCTAAACCCTGAACCCTAAATCCCTAAACCCCACAACTCCCAGAACCAGCTTGAAACTCTGTTACCAACCCTGAAAGCTAAACCCTAAACCGTCAACCAAAAACTGAAAGGTCTCTAGGAAGTTCGGAAGTGGCTTGCCTTTCAGAAGCAGGGCTGTACCGGCCGCCCCTCGGCTGCAGGCGCCGAAGCAGCCGCCCAAGCAAAGGGTGTAGAGCGAGACGGCAGAAAGTAGGGAGGGCTCCTGGCTCAGGCATCTAGGGAAGGCCCAGGGATTAGGGTTTAGGGTTTTCTTAGGTTTCCTTTTTAAGTAGATCTAGAAGGGATCCGTTGAAGGGATCTATAGGGTCTAGGGCTTTAGGGTTTAGGCCGTTTAGGCTTTAAAGGGTTAGAATTTAGCGGTTAAGAGTTTGGGGCCGTGGGGTGAACTAAAGCTCAAAAGGATTACGGTTGCCCAAACTGCAAGGGGCTCCAGCCTGAAATTTCGGCTTACCTGGACGATATAAAACCCTCCTTCTTAGGGTTTAGGGTTTAGGGTTTAGGATTCCCTAATATTTTTTTTCTTATATAAGTCCTGAAAGAGGTAGGTATTTGGGGTCTAGGCATACCCTAAACCGGAACGAGCTTTCAGGCGTGTAGTCATCATTGAGGTTCTCCTGGTGCTTGCGGCAAGGGTTTAGGGTTTAGGGTTTAGGGTTGTTCCGTGCTTTTCTCGTCAATCATCGAAGCTCTTCTTCTGATCTCTGTTTGCAGTCGGCGCCATTTCTTAATGTGGCTTTGGCTTTCTCTTCCCGAACCCGACAGCCTCTCCAACCCTAAACCTGAACTTGATATATGTATATCTTATAGTGTGTGTATATATATATATATATATACATACATATATATATATATATATGTATATATTATATTAAAAGACCATGAACCTTCAACCCCAAACCCCTCAACCCTAAACCCCAAACCTAAAGCCTAATCCCCGACCCTGAAGCCGAAACACTAAACCATAAACCTCAAAAGCCACCCCCACCCCGTCCTCCTTCAGCGACAGGACGGCAGCGGAAACCAAGCGCCAGGCTTCCAAAATCATGCCTTCAGAAACTTTTCTCCCCAGCATCCCCTTGACACATCCGTTTAAGGGTTTAGGGTTTAGGGGTTTAGGGTTTAGGGTTTAGGGGTTTAGGGTTTAGGGTTTAGGGTTCCTCTTCAGCGTTCCACTTAAGGGTTTCGCTTGAGGGTTCCTTGGGCTCCGCTTGAGGGCTCCGTTTAAGCATTCCTTTTAAGGGTTCTTTCGGGTTCCTTTAAGGGCTCCTGGTCGCATGTTTGTCGCACTCGTACTCGCATCTTATGCTATTCACCACTCCGCGAGACTGAAAACCTAAGGAGATTTAGTAAAGAACCCCCAGAACCCTGTACTATGAAACTCTTGCAGCTGAAACCCCCATTAAACTCTTCCAGCTTTAGGGCCAACTACCAGGGTCGAGAGATGTACTACGGAGGGACCTAGGCCCTACGAGGCTGATCTGAGTCCCAAAGTCGAAGAACATACCATAAGGGTCCATGTATTCATGTAGGATATACATTGGCCTTAATGTAGTCCCTATATAGGTACTTTGGGGCTCATGTATCTCTATATGGGTACATGGACCCTTAGGGATAGGTTTCGAACCCAGGTGTCAACCCAGGTTCGCATCTAGGTCCAAACCTCGCGACAACCCAGGTCCAAACCGAGATTCACCCATGACGCCTCCAAAATCCCACCTGTGCATAAGCCACTGATAGTCAGAAACTGCTTCTGCTGAGCTACTGCAGATTCTTCTCCAAGCCCCGTCGACGGAGAGTGCCATTGCTTCGAGGATGCTGTTGTCGGGTTCAACGCTTCTTGGGAGGATCTCTTAAGGGGTGTAAGGGCTATGTAGGCGTGTGTATATTGACAGGTAGATAGGTGGTAGGGATAAGATACCTAGATAGATATTTAGGTTTGAGGGGTATCTGGAGATGCTCCCAGGTAGAAGGAGATCAAGGTTGAGTGCTGGGGTGCAATGGCTTTCGGGAGCATTCGCCGCTCCTGTCTATTAGTTGCAAAGGTTTAGGGTTTAGGGTTTAGGGCTCTATTAGTTCTTTGTAGGGTTAGAAGTAGGATAACTATAGTTACAACCCCTATAATAGGACGTATAACTCCACTTATACCTACCCATAGCATCATCGTCAAGCTTGAAGCGACCATAGCGACCGCGCAAACGTCATGTGCTTAGGCTTTGAGGCTTTCTGCTTAAGGCGCAGGTTTAGAATTTTTAAGGCGTGGAGCTTTAGGTTTAGGGCTCGAGGGTCCGAGCAGGCTTGCTAGTACCGTTGACACTGGACTCCTTGCTCTCTTAGAGGAGTCTCCCCGACCCAAAAAGATTTTGGGATGGCTTCTAAGTACACAACTTGGGTCTTCCAGCCCCCTCAACCCCAAAACCCTACACAATCCCTAAGCCCGACACCCTAATCCCTAGACCCTATAGGCATCTCGCAGAGATGGGTGCAGCCTGGGCAAGTGGATTCGGGACTGCCGCAGTTTCAGTAATGTAGAAACCTGATGAAGGAGCCTTGGGCCTGTATTGGGGTTCTTCATATGAACCCTACTATTTTGGAGTTGTAGCCCAGGGCTTTTAATCAGGTTAGGTTAGGTTCCTACATTATTCTGTTATGTATGTTTGCTTTACCCGGGTTTGGGCTCGGGGTTTAGGATTCGTGCTTAGAGCCCATGTGGTTGAGGACAAGCATGCCTTAGAGGCTCGAAGATTCAGAGGGAACCCTAAAGCAAAACCCTAAACCCCTAAGCTCCTATACCCTAGACCCCAAACCCCTAAACGCTAAACTCCTAAGACACCAAGGCCCCTAAACCCTAAAGCCAAACCCTCTAAACCCTAAACCTTGAACCCTCAACCCCTAAAGCCCCTAACCCCGTTTTGGGCTTAAGGTTTAGAGTTTAGAGCCTTTTTCGTTCTCTGCAATGCACAGTCTTTCCTTCCGCGACCCTTGCCGATCAACGTGCCATGGAGCCGACCTTCACGGCGAAGGGATGCCCGGGTTTAGAGTGTAGGGTTGAGCGTTCTAAGATTTAGGGTTTAGAGTTCAGGGGTTTAAGGGCTTGTTTTTTGGAGTTCAGGGGTATAGGGCTTAGGGATTTAGAGTTTAGGGCTTAGGAATTTTGGATCATGGATTTGGGGCTTGTAGGATTCAGGGTTTGGGGTTTAGGGTTAAGAGTTTAGGGCTTAGAGCTTTGAGCTTCAGGGCTTGGAGCTTTTTAAGATTTAGGGTTTAGAGTTCAGAGGTTTAGGGCTTAGGGTTTGAAGGTTTAGGGTTTGGGGCTTTTTTGGGATTTAGGGTTTAGGGTGGGCTTGCTTCTCCGGCCTCCTTTGGCTTGCAGAGTGGCGTGCTTAGGATTTACTTCGTATCCTTTGGGACTGGGCCTGCCAATCTAGTTATACTACAATATCTCCCCAAACGGCTTTCCGATGTTGGGTCCCTCTCAGGGTCCTGCTCTCCAAGGGTTCTGCAAGTCTTCTGTATATAAATCTATGCAAGGCTTCTATAACTCGACAAGGGCTCTACAAGGCCTCTACAATGTACCAATGTCTCATAAGCCATAAGTTTGTTCTGGGTTTCGGGTGTAGGGTTGCTGCACGTCCCAAATCCCACAGAATCTGGAGACTCTAGGGATGTCAACTCTGCCCTATGCGAGGGTCAAGGGCTTCGGGCTGAGGGTTTAGGGTTTAAGTTTAGAAGCTGTACGGTTTAAGGCTTTGGGTTAAAGGTTTAGGGCGATAAGGCTCCAGCATCCCAGCTTGCTTTGCAGAGGTTCCTGTTTGCGATCGGGCGAGGCGCATTGCTTCTGTGCATTTGCACTGAAGACGTTTAGGGTCTATGTCGATCGCTGCGAGATCTGCTGGCCACACTAGCAGCCAATGAAAGACAATCTGAACTAGCGGGCTAGTCCTCCTTGAAAACTGGGTGAGACTGGCTTGGTGTGGGATTCTCCGAAGGAAAAGTGACTATCCTGATTGTTCGACGACGATGGGACTCTTTCCTCTCCGTGCGATCTCGCGCTGCTTCTTCGGTGATGGTGGTCCTCGTCCTAAGACCGCTGTGGTCACTGACTGTCAAGCCTGAAAAATGTTCCACGGTTCAGAACAATAGGCGAAAATCTTTCACTCAACAGCCAAGGCTCTTTTGTGCGTGTGGGTTCCATCATGTACATCCTCCGGAAGCCATCATTGTGGTGCAGCTTCCTTGCATTTTTCCTGCGTTCCAGCTCCTTGTCAAAGGAAGCCAGATCTTCCTCGCCCGCGCCGGGCTCACGGGGTTGCAAGGACATCTTTGGTCTCACCTTAGTTGCTGAGTTCATAAGCCCCCAAAAAGTGCACACTTTTAGCTTTATAGTGGGTAGTATTATCCCAAGAAGTGTACACGTTTAGCTTTATAGTGGGTAGTACTATCCCCGAAAAGTGTAAAGTGTATCCACTCAGCTACTGAGTCACCCAAGCATCTGCCAGCATCAGCTCCAGCTTAGCCTCAAGCCTGGACATTGCGCTCGCCAGCGCTGCCTCCACGTTCACCATTGGCTGCCCGCCTGCCTCTCAACTAGGCTCTGGTTCAGGACTGTAATTTATAACAAGCAGGAAACCATCGTATTTACTACGGAGAAAGATTAGGATAGTTGAACTGCAGCCGTAAACCGTTTTGACTTACAATTCCTGTTCCCGAGCCCAATCGGCGTCTGCAACGAACTCCTAGACCCTGAACTCCTAAACCCCTAAACCCCGAAGCCCTAAACCCCTAAACCCCTAAACGCCTAAACCCCTAAACGCCTAAACGCCTAAACCCCAAAGCCCTGAATCCCTAAACTCCAAACCCCCAAAGCCCTAAATCCCAAAGCCCCAAACCCCAAAGCCCTGAATCCCTAAACCCCACAACTTTGAACCCAGGGGCTGCGAGGAACTCCACAGGCTGAGGCGAAGGTGGCGGCTGCAGGACTTCTGCCTCGGCTTCGTAGTGCAGGGCCGGAGCAGACGGGCCACGGGTCCCAGGTCCATCCTTGGTCTAGGATTTAGGGCTTATGGGGTTTTAGGGTATAGGGTTTTAGGGTTTACAGTTTAGATACAGTTTCGGGTTAGGGCTTGGGGTTCAGGGTATAGGGTTTAGGGTGATCCTTGGAATAAGGTTTTGGATGTAGGGTATAGGGTTTAGGATTTAAGGTGTAGGATTCTTGGTATAGGGTAGACTTTCGGCGTGGGGTTGAGGGTTTAGGGTTTTAGGGAGTTTGGGTTCTTAGGATTTATGGTTTAGGGTATGGGGGTTAGGGTTAGGTTCTAGGTAACCCTTGAAGCAAGAAAGAGGCATCCATCGCTGGTTTTGCTGTTTGCGGGTTGAGGGTTTAGGCTTTAGGGGTAGGTTCCAGGCAACGTTTGAAACAAGAAAGAAGCATGGCCAGCTCCAGAGCCAAGGATCCACTTTCTGTCGAAGTTCTTGCAGATCCCCCGCGGGCAGCTCAGATGCGATGGAGTCTGACTTCCCATATGCCGCATCTCTGTCGCTTCGGACATCGTCCTGCCCTTGAGCAGAAAGTGGCGGCGGCCTCAGTTCAGCCACGGACCGGGCCACGCCGTCAATTTTGGCGGCCAGCTGCTGAAAGCATTCCACAGATAGATCGTAGAGCTCCTCTTGGAGATTCATCGTCTGGATCATGTTGTACTTGATAAACCGGGGGGCGGTCTTGGAGTCATGCGCCCAGCGGCTGAGAGGGCCGATAAACTCGGCCACATCGATGGTTCCAGACTGATCCTCATCGATCATGTAGAAAAGTGACTCCAAGTCTTGCTCGTCAATGTCCTAAGGCGGAAAAGGGTTTTAGGTTCAGGTGTTAAGGTATATGGGGGTTAACGATGAAGGGTTTCTCAAGTACCGTTGGCAGCTGGACAGCACAGAAACGCCAATACGATCTGATCTCGGCAGAGACTCTCAAGCCGACCAAACCTTAACCCTAAACCCTCAACCCTCAACCCTAAACCCCTTAAACCCTTAAACCCTCAACCCCAAACCCCCAAAACCTCTTTTTTTGGTCGGATGGCCACCCGCCGGGCCGCCACGACCTCCAAGCCGCTAAACCCTGGAGCCGAACCCCAAGCCTGACCCCATGACCACGTTAGGGTTTAGGGTTTCGGGTTTAGGGTTTAGGATTTAGGGTTTAGGGTTTCGGATATAGGGTTTAGGGTTTAGGGTTTCGGGTTTCCAAGATTTTGGAATGCTAGAAACCCTCACAAAAGCCCATGAAAAGAGTTGTTGAAACAGTTGTCTGAAAAGCCAAACACACAACCAAAAAAAATAAAACTGTTGAGAAAATGTGTAGAGAACCGTTCTCCACAGAAAACTATAGCAAGCTCTTCTAACACCCTCTGTGAAATCGCCCGGCGTCCCTCAACCCCAAACCCCAAACCATAAACTCTACACCCCGAAACCCCCAAACCCCCGTACCCCGAAACAAACCCCCAAACCCTAACCCGTAACCCCTGAGCCCCCACACCCCTAACCCCTAAAACCCTTAAACCCTCAACCCCTACACCCCCAAAAAACACCTCAATAAAATCCTTAAAACCCTAAACCCCCCTAAACGGCTACACCCCTAAACCCCTAAAAGCTCTCAAGAACCCTAAACCCCCAAAAACTCTCAAGAACCCAAACCCCTAAAGACTCTGAAAGCCCCTAAACCCCTAAAACCCTACCTAAAAGGCACCCGGGCGTCCATGACTCGGAGACGCCCCCGAAACTCAGAGTCGGTCTGCGCACCTTCCATCAGCTCCGCGAGGGTGAGCCTGGGGGCTTCGGGGGGGTTTAGGGGTTTAGGGTTTGGGGTCTGGGGGTTTAGGGGTTTAGGGTTTAGGTTTTTAGGGTTTAGGGTTTTAGGGTTTAGGGTTTAGGGTTTTTTAGGGGTTTGGGGTTTAGGGTTTTTTCAAGGAGTTTGATCTATAACGATACCATCTCATAAGGGGTTTAGGGTTCAAGGGGTTTGGGGTTGAGGGTTCGAGGGGTTTGGGGTTTAGGCTTTAGGGTTGAGGGTTTGGGGTTTGGGCGTTTATCTAGTTGGGTTGACTCATCCTTGCTACGCCTGCCAAACAGCGGCTCCCAACTGCTGCCTTTAGCGACACTATAAACTAGACCCACTCTCACACCTTCACGAAGGTCACTGCTCAGGTTTCAGTTTTGTACTGCACTAGACGACGCAGCAGACAACCGCAGGACAACGGCAGACCAAAAGAGGGCAACATGGCAGAGAGGGAGTTTAGGGTTCAACTAAACGCCCCCTGAACCCCTAAACCCTCAAACCCCCAAACCCTAAACCCCCAAACTACGGTTGATGATATAAATCCTGCATTGCCTTCAGGACCCTAGACTGAAGGAGTTATGGTATATTCCTATTATAGGGTAATGCAGGATTTATATCATCAACCGTACCAAAGTAGCTTGAAACAGCTTTTCTTCAGAAGGGCCCAGGAGCTTACCGCTCCGATCTCGGTCCATTCGGGCAAACAGCTTCCCAAGGGCTGCTCCTTCGAGTGCGACTGAAGCGTTGGGGTTAAGGGCTTCCTGTAGGGTTCAGGGTACTGGGTTTTAGGGTTTAGGGTCTTTTCAACATGTGTCTTGAAGGTTTCAGAGTTTGGCTTGGAAGGCTTGGTTGGGAGGTCTTTTAAAAATTCAAGGGTCTACTGTCTTCCTGCTCACCTCAGATGCTGGGCTAGCATCGTCGATTAAGCGTTCTGAACCCTATATCCTCAACCCTAAACCCTCAACCCTAAAACCTTAACTATGAAATGGCCACACCATGACTTCATGGCTGTCATGAAGTGCAGCAAGGCATCGATCATGTTCGATCTCATCCTCCATCTCCTCTGCCAGGCTTTGAACATCGCTCTGCCGAGATTCAGCAAAGGTATCCACCACCACTGCCACCTTGGTATAGTACAGATAGTAAGCTTAGTATGGTGTAGACAGGTATAACGGAATAAACGCATACACTTTGGTATGGGTGCGGCACAGTAATAGCAGCATGGTCTTGAAGTGTTATACATTACAGCACGTAATCTCAAATCCAAATCCGAAAATATCCGCTCCCGAAGTGCACCCCATACGTTCTCTGCAACAGAGTCATCGCGGAGACAAACCCTAATCTTTGGTACGTTCAGGGTTTAGGGTGTAAGGCTCAGGGGTTTAAGATATGGGGTTTGTTTGCTGCATGGCGGCAATAAGATTCAAAACTCCAAAGACCAATGTCAATGAAGAGCCAATGAAAATGATGAAAGTTGCTGGATGCTCCTGCGCGAAGGCAGTGCAAGCAAGCAGTTCGAGGGTTCATAAGTGGCTTCAACTTCGGGCCTAATTGAGGGGCTTACGGCTGGAAGGGGGCCGGTGAAGAGTCCGACGCTGTTACAAACCTGAAACTCAGGCTTTCTTGGTGGTTTTTGCAAATTTTCATGACTTGCATACTGTAGTTTCATAGTTGTTAAAGGATGGCACCAAAACCTGCTTGCTCCAATGTTTCCACTCTGCTATTGATACTACATTAAACAACAGGGCAAGGGGGATCGAGGCAAGGCCTTGGACAAAACAACAAAATAGAAACTACAGCAGCAAGTGTCCTGAATGACAGGAACAGCAATCTCACCCCAAGCGTCGCCCGCGATAACTGTCTTGAACAGCAACAAGTTTGCATCCATTACCTTGGTTTGAATCGACAACATGATCGTTACAGGAAATTTCAACTGTGACCTGCAGAACTTGCCGTTAAGATTCACGTCTTCGGGTCTAAAGCACGCGGCTTAAGGTTGACGGTCTATGATTGGGGTTTGGGGCGACCCTAGGCTGAAATAAGGCGATGTCAAGTGCCACGGGGCGGTCGAGACTGCCTTTGTGCACTGTGGATGGCAAGCCTTGAAAAAATCGCGGTCCATGTTTGCGTGCATCTCCTGGAGAAGCGTATGCGCTGAGAAAATTTTAGCAATCGAACTGAATAGCTGCCACGAATGAAGCTACACTAAGCACATTTACTGTCAAACCGCAAGGGTTGGACGATTAGTGCACTGCGAAAAGTAGGACAATAGGACCCTGGGAAGTTTTAAATGTCAGGCTTAAGGAGTCCTTCACGAACGGACTGACCACTTCAACGATCAACATGGCCCACACGGTCATGACTACGAAGCACAACAAGAAGCACCAGAGGAGTGCCCGAAAGCAGGTGGCCATCATAATGGCAAGCTTGTACAACTCCCTCAAGGGGCGGATCCTCTTCCTTTGCGTGTGATCATAACATTGAAAAGGTTCGGCAGGTTTGTTTGAGTTTGCATACAAAACCAAAAGCACAACAAATCAACCCGCTGTCAGAGCCCGAGACAGAACCCGTTCGTTTGAGGAGGAAGCTAGTTGTTCCTTTGCCCTCTTGTCATTGCCCTTCCCTGAACACTCTCTCTCTCTCCGTCTCTGTCCTCTTCTCTCTCTCTAGGTCGCACACAATATGCCCAAGTGAGACTACTCGTCACCAGCCGTGACGACGGTGCTAACCGGCAGGGAAAGCATAAGAAGTCGGCAGCAGCTTGAGGCACGGAAAACATGCTCACGGAAACTACATACGCAACGGGCAACTCTTTGCACGGCTCTTCACTACCCTTGTCGAGTGAGACGATGGCAGGACCAAAGTAAGTTTTCCTGCCACCGCAAGAGAAAATCTTAAGAGGCACGAAGCAGTGTCCTATAACGTAGTTGTTGATGTAGCTCATCCACGCACAAGGGATATTCGTGACCACTCACCACAAGAAAACGGAGCATGATAAGTCCAATGACGTTCGCATACAACATGGAAAAGCCGATTCGCCTCTTGTCGGCTCCCCTCGACTGTATCGTGGAACAATCAAAAGAGGGAATCGTAATGCAATCTGGGACAGATCATATGGCTGGTAAGCCAAACATGTGTCTTATTGTAACATGTGGATATTTGCACCTGCAGACCTGACAGTGCGATGGGATGTTCCAAAAGTTTCCGGTTGCAACATTGGGAGCCACCGTCTCGCATCATCGGTCTGGCGACAAAGTGCGGCATGACATCTAGACCCACGTAGAACCTCCAGCATATGCAGTTGTGAGAACGCAGCACACCAGTCGAGGTTGAATCGTCATGTTGAGGGAAAGCTAGGGAGAACCTCGACTGATGATCTGATCGTAGCTCTGGAACTGAGTATCGATGTGACTGTTATTGACAGGCGCAGGTGCTGATATTCAGTCGGCATGGAGTACAATGTCAAGCGGAATCCCAATGACATTCAAGTTGAGGGATGTCTTAACATCGCAACCGGCACGGAGGCATAATTGCAATCACTGTGGGACATAGTGGCAATCTTGCGGTCCAAGTGAAGCTGGCGCCATGGCGGCACAGGTAAGGAAAGGGACGATCCACGCTGTCTTGTGCCTGAACCTTTCCCAACATAGAAACCCTCACCGGGAACATGGAGCAGGCCCCAAAACCTAAACCCCTAAACCCTACAACCAAAAGGCCAACAGCCTGCACCCAAAAACCGAGCACTTAGACCCTGACCCTGAAACCAGAAACCTAAAGCCTAAACCCGACAAGCCCTAAACCCTAGTCCTAAACCCTTCTCAGCTGCTTGAAGTCATGTCCCAGTCGCAACGCACGTGCAAGTCGGAAGATCCGCACCAGGCGCAATGCCCGCAACACAGCGGTGCGGAAGTTGAGCCCTCCGTCGGAAAGACACAGAGGGGTTTAGGGTTTAGGATTCGGGGTTTCTAGGTTAGGTTTTAGGGTTTAGGTTGAGAGGCTTGGGTTTAGGTTTTAGGCTTTGGGTTTTGGGGCTTGGGCTCTAGGTTGCAGGGTTTGAAATTGGGGTTTGGGTTTTGGAGTTTAGAGTTTAGGGTTTAGGGTTCAGCCTCCAGGGTTTAGGGCTTCAGGCGCCAGGTTCAGACTCTCTGGAACCCTAAACCGTGGCAGGCCTCCATCCGAAAAGACGGAGATGATCTCCTCTGCCCAGCCGCAACCGACAATGATAATATCCAGTGCCATGAACCAGTCACTGAAAGATGCTCTCACGCCGAAGACGCTTAGCAAGGCGGCGATTTCGAGAGTATAAGTCACCAGGCAGAGGCTGGAAATCAAAGAACTGATCTCCGGTGGTTGGGAACCGGCAGCTGTCGCATCGATGTCTACACAGGTACAGTATGCATCAACCAGAACCACAGCTGCCATGAAGTTGGCCAGGTAGATACTTTTGAGGAAACCATTAATCCTGCTCTTCCGGCCAAGGTTTTCGGTGGATGCCTGGACGAACTTGCCGGCAACCTTCATATTCTTCTTGCCACTCCTGTCTTTGCTGGGAAGCCGCGACATCTTCGGGGCCAAATCGGATATCTCCTTTGAATCTGTTCCTTCCATGGGAGCCGACACACTACGGCAGGCTAACAAACAATGCTCGCAGGCATCTGAGCCGAGCGCAGGGAGAATCAAACATGTCAGAGCCGAGGAAGATCGCGAGACCCAACTCAGCCGACAACATCTCCCGTGCCTTCTATTGCGGGTTTAGGGATTAGGGTTATTTCACCTATGAGGGCTTAGGATTTAGGGTCTAGGGCATCCCTGCACTTCTGTCCTGGAGGTTGAGTCCTGAAGCCTGCAAGCCCTACCCACAGCAAGCGAGCCACACCCTACATTGCCCCTCTGCACACACCTACACCTAAAGCTCTAAGCTTAGCCCTGATAAATCTACACCCATAATCCTCATTATGGGGACCAGCAGCCAGTTCCCCTCGGTTCTTGGGAACATGTACATGAAACTGTTTTTCACCGCATCTTCCTTGTGCTCAGGTTGTGGGTTTGGGGTTGAAGACCCCTGCTGATTGTAAACTATACTATACTGTACTACACGATAATACAATAACCAATGAGCCCACCCAGGCCGCGACCCAAACCGTCCGCATGCCAGGCTAAGAGGCTTAGGGTAGGGTTCAGGGTTCAAGTTTTATGGCTCAAGGTTTAGGGTTCGATTATCGGGCATAAGATTCAAGGCGTAGGGCTTAGGCTTTGGGGTTTACGGTTTAGGGTTTAGGGATTCAGGTTTAGGGCTTAGGGCTTGAAGATTTAGGGCTGGGACCCTCGGACATAAAGGTGCCTCCAGCGGCTCACAATGGCTCTGCACAACAGTGCACGAGCCGCCATGTCGCACAGAGGTGGCAGCAAGGAGAATGTAGTACAATTTCGTATAGCATAGTACAGTGTAGTATAGTACAGTATAGTACAGCAACAAGAAAAGCCAACAGGGCTGCAAAGTGCGAAGTGTCTGGTATTTCAAAAACAGTGCTGTGCTTGCCTTTTTTCGCTTCCGCCACGCGTTTCTACTTCGCCTTGATCCGGATTTGCTTCGCCTGCAACAGGAGATGCGTCCTGAGACTGCGAGCTTGCTTGGAGCATCATGGGACTTAGTAAGTATGGTTATATAAGTACCTTGATTGGAGTTAGAAGCAATTATATAGCTGTAGTTACCTTATCTGGTTACTATATAAGTCCTTGGTTAGCCACACCGCCATGTGCTACAGTAAGTCAGTCCGTCAAAGCTGCCCTTCAGTCTTTCCTGCCCACGCAAGCGCCGCGAGAGTCTGTACTTCCTGCATTGGCCTCCGACAGTTCAGCCAGCAGTTTTGCTGGTATGCAGTGATGGCTGGACCACATAGTCACTATCGTCTGAAGCTAGTGCTACGAACTATGATTTTCTATCACTAGATCGCCACATGACTCCGCTGTCTCTCGAACCGCCAACGTGTTTTCCTCACTACAGTACGACTGGACCCGAAACCCCAAACCCCAGTTTAACTCTGAAACTTTGATCGCCAACACCCGTTATACTCGAATACCGTAGCATTCAGAGGCTGACAGCGGCTGCCCAGCGCAGGGCGGCCACTTGGCGAGCAGGCTTCTGGCCTCGGAGCGAAATCAACGGGTTTAGGGGTCCTAGCGCTTAGGATTTAGGGTGGTGTTAGCCTGCGAGTTTTAAGAAGCCTAAAACCTAAACCGCCGAAGCCCCAAACCCTAAATCCTAAAGCTTCGAAACCCTAAGCCCAAGCCCTAAACCCTAAACACAAAACCTAAACCGTATCAATCCTAAACCTTGTAAACCCTCAGCACTGGGCCTCTAAAACTCCTAATCCCTAAACCCCGAAACCCAAACCCCCAAACCCCTACACCCTAGCCTAGTGGTAGAGTAGGTAACCTTTAACCTTTTTGGTTATTTCCTCCCAAACCGTTCCGAAGCCACCCGACTGCCCCCGCAGGTATTAACGCAAGCCACAGGTACCTTTGTGAAATGTTTTGATCTCCTTAATGCTTCTTTGAAGTTGACTCCTTATCCCCGCGAAAATCTGCGATCATTGTCATCTTACGGGTTCACCAATGTTGTTCCCTCTTTGAAATCCCGACCCAACCTCCTTTCAGGGTCCCACGTTCGACACCTTCTTGAATCCATCATAGTGCCGGGAGTCCGAGTCCTGAAATATTCGTACCGCATCCCCCAAATCACGCCTCGTCCGTTGCCGGCCTGCTTCCCACAACACTTCTGAGCTTAATTCGCAAATTCGCGAAGCTCGTCTCACGCCTTTCGCTGGGGACGCAGCTTATTCCACGTCGCGCTTTAACCTTTTTGGGGTAGTATAGGCCCTACATAATGCCTCTACAAGCACCGAGCCTCGCGCCTTTACGATCGCTCCGGAGGATCCTCCTTCTCCTTGCTCTTCTCGCGAGACCGTCCCAGGGAGAGGGTGGAGATGCCACTCTCCCCGTACCTTTTGTGGCGTTTTAGAGCTTTACGGCTTGGACTTTAGGGTATAGGGTTTGGGGTTTAGGGTGTAGGGTTTGGGGTTTGGGTTTAGAGTTCAGGGGACAGACTTTGAGGTTCAGGGAGCCTACCCTCAACCCTGAAAGCTGTTTCTGTCAAGACGATGAACGCTTTAGTTGAAAAGTTTGTGCAATTTGGGGGTTTCCGAAAATAGAGGACTCTAATATAGTACCCTAAACAGTAGGATCCTCATTTTGTCAGGACCCCCAAGTAAGGCACCCCTAACTTGCGGAAACTCCCATTTGGGGCGAGAGACAATAGCTGTTTTCATGGACTCAGCGCCTCGGCGCCTCTACCCCGAAATGCCAACCGGAAGCCCTGACTTACCCTGAACCTCACAGGCGTAAGCCCTAAACCCCAAGCCTTAAGCTTCAAACCTGAAAGTCAAAAACCCTGAACCCTGAAAAATTGAGGAACCCTTCGAGTAACCCAGGACCCTCCTTGTACCTCAAATAGGGGTATATGGTCCCAAATAAGGGGCATTTAGGGTCTAATAGAGGGTAGATGGAGGGTCTAGGACCCTTCCAAAAAAGCCCTCAAGGAGCCCTTCAAAGCCCTCCTAAGCCCTCATAACGGCCGAGCGACACCAGCCTCACCTGGGTGGTCGTCAAAATTAGGGGGTCCCTTTTTGGGTCCCTAATATATATTACGGCACCTATTATTTAGGGTACCCTAAACCCTAAACCCTGAACCCCTAAACCCTAAACCCGAAAGCCCTAATTTTGACAACTACCCACCTGGGTGTCCGGCGCCAGTCCCGACTTCGGCCAAGTTCTGTTGCAAGGCAGCGGCTCCCAGCAGAACTCGCCCACGGTGTTCTTGATGAAAACCTCCCGGAAAGGGGGGGGGGTTAGGGGTTTAGGGTTTTAGGGTTTAGGGTTTAGGATTTAGGGTTTAGGGGTTTAGGGGTCTAGGGGTTTAGGGTTTAGGGGTTTAGGGTTTAGGGTTTAAGGGGGGTTTCGGGTGAAAGGGTTTAAGAGGCTTGTTGTAAGGTACCATGGCTTGGGTGCAAGGAGCAAGGCTTTGGAGGCCTTCCGATGAACCGCTTCAGGTGTTCGGAAAGCCGAAACTGAGAGAACCAGATGACCCAAATCCAACATGGGTCGGGAATCTTTCTCAAAACTGGGTACAGTAGAAGCCCAAACGTTGGAAACCCAATAGCCTAAGTCCTTAAGACTAATGTATAACACTATTTGGCCTTAATCCGGTTTCCAACTTTATGGGGTTTACTGTACTTTACTATAAGTATGAACGGAGGGCTAAAAACTTCAAGCTGGAGGATCCTCCAAAGGGCGCTAAGTACGACCCTGCGATCGGCACTCAGCTTCTGTACGGAACTTCGGCACGGTTTAGAGTTTAGGGTTTAGGGTTTGGGGTTTGGGGTTTAGGGTGTGGTACTTCAGGTATCTAGCGGTGCTCAGTGTAGGGGATGTTGACTGGGTTCCAAGGCTTCAAATCTCTGATTCCTAAGGCGCCTTGAACTGTCCCCCGGGCGACGGCATGGGGATCCGATCTTTCCAGAGAGGATACCTGGTCGCAGATGATGCCCTAAACTAATCAAAGGGCTGTTTGGCTCCCTTTGTGGGTTTGTGGTTCTGGGGCCTCGAGAAGGGTCTACAAAGTCTATAGGAGTTTTGAGCTTTGGAGGAGAAAAGGAAAGGCTCGAAGTTGCGTTGGAAACCCATGTCCTCAACCTCGATGCGAAGATCAACCTCCAAGTACAGTACACCCTTGTCCTTTTTGAAATAATAGACAGGGCCCTATACCGATATCCCTGAGTAGGAATTATTTTTGCAGGTCTACTAGCCGGTCTGTTTCTTCTTTTGGGGGAACCATGAAAAAGGACAAGGCTGTCTTAGGGACCCTACACTGAGCTCGAGTGGCATTAACTCTGAACCCCTCTCTGCGCCCAGGCTTTGGGACCGCCAGCCCAGGCTCGAATCGATTTCTGCTGCAGGTTTGGGGGCTTCGAGGCGAAGTTTGTAGTGCTTTGTGCTGATTCTTTCTACGGGTGATGATGTACATCCTGACCCCAAACTATGGGAATGATGGTATATTCCTTATTGTGGGTCATGCAGGATTTCTATCATCAACCCTAAACCCTAAACCCCTATAGATCCCGTAAAGGACCCCTCGAAGGTACCGTTATAGATCCCTTCAAAGGACCCCAGGATTTATCGAGTAGACTGTAGGGCCAAAACGCACTAAAGAGTCCAACCTTTGATGTTTAAGACTTACTTGATCCCCTAGACCCGCCGGCAAGACAACCGGAATCAACATCCTACATAAATCCTGGGGTTCCTTTAAGGGGGTCTACAAGGGTACCTTTAAGGGGTTCCTTTAACGGAGCTATAGGCGGTTTAGGGGCTAGGGTGCTTCCTGACGGTGCCAGGAAACTCCTTGGCCCTCCACCCGCAACAGAAACTCAAGCCAACAATAACCTACCAAGACTCCGCTACTTAGAGGGTCATGGGACTTAGGAAGTAAGGTTTTAAGTAGGATGCAATTACGATAACCCCACTCAAGGGACTTATAACCCTGATTATAACCTTACTTACTAAGTCCCATGATCCTCTGAGTACCGGCTTCCTGATGTATTCAGAAGCCCAGCGACGTCTCGGGCGAGGTGTTGAGGTACCAGGACTCCTTGGGATTCCTCGGATCTGAAGAAGCAGACAGTCTAAGAGGCGTGTAACATCCGACATAAGTAGCGCTGTCCACATCTGCATCTAGTTCTGGTACTTTAAATGGAAACTAAACCTAAACCAAACACGTGTCAGATCGCTGACGCATCTCGAAGCACTATGCATACCTGAAACTCCAAACCGTGAACCCAGAAAGGAAGACGTCTCGTCAAGTCCTACACCCTAAGCCTAAACCGTAAGCTCTAAACCCTCAGCCCTAAACCCCAAACCCTGCGCCCTTAAACCCCCAAACCTTAAACCCCAAAACCGTAAATCCGAAAGCCTTGAAGAAAGCCCAAGGTTCCAGGAGCCCAGCTGCCAGTCAGAACCGCTAATGGCCACACGCTCCTGCTGAGCTTACAAGATTCAAGGTTTTGGGGATTTACTTTGATTACTGCTATTACTACTATGACTATTATTACTATGATTACTTTGATTGCTTTGATTACTGTTATCAATATAATAACTGTACGGTTCAGAGTTTAGGGGTTTTGGGGTTTGGAGGTGTTGGGGCTTAAGTATGGCTTAGGGCCGGGTTTAGAGGCGTAGTACGAAGGGTTTGGAGCTTCGGAGCTTTAGGGTGTTGGACTTCGGCGATTTATGTGGGAGTTTCCGAAAACAGGGGACCCTACTATAGTACCCTGAATAGTAGGATCCTTATTATAAGGACCTGAAATAAGGTACCCCCTAGTTTTCAGACACTCCCGTGTGTTGGGGCTGCTGGTTGAATAGTTTAATTCTCCGCGTGAGAATGAGAAGGTCGGGGCATTAAGGAAAAAGGGAACCCGAAACCATCCAATAGGTGCAAATGCTCCTCTGGCTGTGTCTCACACCGCACCTCGATGCTGATGTAAGCTTCCTGGCGAGATGATGCGGCATATGCGTATCCAGGGCATTTACATGGCCTCATCAATCTTTCCCAGAGAACCCAATATCCCTTAAATTTATGAATATATTAGGAATCCTATGATAATTTAAGGTATGTTCCTTAATTTAGGGGTATTGGGATCTCTGCGTTAATCGTTAGAGCCAGGGTTCGGGCCTTCGTTCGCTTCGCACCCAAGGTTTCGAAGACGAAGCAGGATTTGTTCTTCAAGCTTTGGCCACGGTTTATGGTTTAGGTTAGGTACGGCCCCCATACAGTAAGAGTCTAGAATAGGGCTACTATTAAGGTCCTACTATATCTATATTAATGAATATCATTCAACTATTACTGAGTGGGGGCCGTACCCAAGGTTTAGGGTTTAGGGGGAAAAAACTGCGACAGGCTTTCTTCCCTGGAGCCTCGCAGCAACATCAAAAACAACGGCTAAGACTCGGGACCTATGGCCACGGGGCAGGAGCCAGGCAAAAATTTCCCCAGAAGCCGACGAGCAAAAGACAAGTGGGCGACAAAAAAATCTCGACAAACTCCGGACCTGAACCCTGAACCCGATTGCAACTTCCATAAACCCTTAAAGCCCAAAGCCCTAAACCCTAAAGCCTAAACCCTAAACCCTAAACCCTAAACCCTTAACCCTTAAAGCCCAAAGCCCAAGAGCCTGAGCAACCTTTACAAGCGCCGTTACACCCCCAAAGCCCTAAGTCTCAGCTTTCGGAAGCTACGTCCGAGCCACGTCCCGGAGACTCCAAAAGCAGGTAACTGATACAGTAAGATTCCAAATACGGAACCAAAACCCCTTATTGAGGAATATGCTTGAAGATACAGTAGGATCCCTAGTAAGATTTACGGTTTCTTCCTTAATTGAGGAATATGCTGTCAATTGTGGTAGGATCCCTGTCCCTAGTAAGCCCTAAACCCTAAACCCTAAAAGTCAAGGTATATTCCTTAATTCGAAGATTTTGGAAGGTCTGGGTGCCGCCTTTTTGGGCTCTTCCGGCTTCCGACTTTCGTCCACGAAGAAGACGCCTTGGGGCGTACGTTGAGGGCCAGGATTTTGGATTTATGGATACGGATTCGGATTTGGGCTTGCTTAACAGTCTGGGGGTTTAAGGCTTGCAGTTCAGGATTGGGGCTGGAAGGTATGTTGTTGGTCTATCTGTCTATCTTGCTCGTACCCTAAACCCTAAACCCGCCAAAAAAAGGCAGGCTTTGGAAGCTTCAGGGCTTGGAGTTTAGGATCAATGCAACAGAAACTCGGCTGCTGAAACGCAGACATCACTGGGAGTCGCTTGAAGCGGACCCCGAACCGCTGACAGGTCTGAACCATGCCAGAATGTATAGCATGTGCTTTCTCTGCACTCGCGACTCGTGTACGGAGATCCCCATTCACATTGAAAGCAAGAGATTAGTCAAAACCATGTTATGAAGCCTGCTTCTACCAACATCCCAAACTTTCTCAAGGCACTTCTGACGAATCATGCCGTGAAGGGAACCAAGTTATAATCATGATGAAGCTCCCTTCTTTTAGCTTGCGGGGCCTATTGGATCGCCGTCCTTGTCCAGCTTTCGACCGTGCTCGTCCACCTTTCAAAGAACACTATACAACAAGACGTTCAGACAAAGATGTAGTATGAAATGATAGAATATACTGCGCTCTGATGCAATCTAGTGCAAATACTGGTATGTCATACGCTCTCATAAAACATAACGTACTTGAATATAACGTGGCATAAAGTAACATAGTATAAATATGATGCCAGAATAAAAGAGGATACAAAAATGGGCACAGTATACTATGACATAATATAACAGAATGTAACACAATACACCATAATATGACATAACAGAATACAACAGAATGGAATAGAGTAGAATAGAGCATATTCCAATACAATACAACGTATAATACTAGAAGACAGTATAGTACACCCGTGCCACGGCGAAGGTTTTGCTGCTTAGGGTGTAGAAGTTTAAAAGCAGTTTTAAGGTTACCCGGGCTTCAGGTTTGGCTGATTGTTAAGGTTGAGAGCCCAGCACTCCACAAGATTGCAGGGCTCCGGGATGACGGATGTTGGGATTAACCCCTAAACCCTAAACCTCAGGGCCCTTGACCAGGGTTTTGCGACCCTAAGTGGCGCAAGGCTTCAGCCCCAGTACCACACAGCTGGAGACAGAACCGCATGGACTTTTGAACAAAGGTTCAGGTCTTCGGGGCCCCCGGTTCGCCGAGGTCCGGGTCTTCGTGGCTCAGGGTTGGCGCAAAGCGTTCTGAACAAACGATGGAAAGGGTTGAGGTTTAGGGTTTAAGTTCCTGAACCTGAGCCAGGAAAATCTCCAAAGCCCGACGAGTGTCCAAAGCCACACTCGAAGCACTCGATAGCCCCGAAGGCCGTGCAAAATGCAAGAATGAAGCTTTCGAAGCCCACGATCTGAAAACCTGGCATGTCTGACATTACACTCCCAACCCTAAATCAATCCTCGGACAACACAGAAAAATCCCAAGCGGCGCCCTCTGAAGCGCCACGGTCTCTGGCATCTCGGGCAGGACATGCTGCTCGTGGACGACCCAGGGTGGGGGTGGCCTCACCGGGTTTAGGGTTTAGGGTTTGGGGATTTAGGGGGTTAGGGTTTAGGGGCTGAGATTGGGCTTTCCTTAACCCGACTTCTAAAGCCTTGATGCCAATCCAAACGACTCCCGGTCCTTTCTCACCGAAAACATCGGGTTTCATAAACTCCTGGTGCCTTGTTCCAGCCCTTACCTTGCCTGCACTCCCTGCCACTTACTCCTGCAGAGGCGTAAGCGGCCGCGGGTTCATCTCCCCTTACTTGGAGGATCATGGGACTTCGTAACTACGGATGTAAATAAGGTACGTATAGTCATAATTACTTACAGGCCCAAGTAAGATACTTATAGCCTTGGTTGCTAAGACCCATCCTCCAAGTTCTTGGACTCCCCAACTGCCCTCTGTTAGACCGTAAATTCACACCATTACGGGTGCCATTCAAGGGCACTTGGGGGGTGCCCTGGTACAAAGGCAAAACCCAAAGCTCAAAACCTGTAAACCCTATATCCCTATAAGCCCTACCCTCTGAACCCGCTATAAACCTTATCACTTATAAACGCTATCTATACATATATATATATATATATATAGAAACCCACTCGAGTTTCAAGAAACTTTCCGAGCGGGCCTCCGCTGAGAAGGTCTCCGGTCGAGCAGGTAGGCGGCCGCGGTGCCCGGCGCTGGTGGACGGTATCCCCCCCGGCTCATGGCGAAGAAAAGCTTTCGGGGCTTAGGCTGGGAGGTTACATCAACTGGGGGTGTGAAAGGGTTTAGGGAGTAGGGCTTAGGGTTTGAGCTGTTTAAAAGGCTGGGAAGTCTTGGAATCTGGAACCAGACTTGCGGTGCTCCGTTCGAGGTTTAGCTTCAGGATTCAGGTGAAGAGTTTGCTCTGTGACTCGTATTCAAGATTTGCTGTTCGGCATCAGTCTTGACCGTCATGGCCGAAACTCTTGCAATAGCCAATGCTACATGTGATGCAGAATAGATGTCTGAAGACACCCGTAATGATATTCCTTTCTAGTTCCTCCATACTTACACTTCAGATGCTTCGGATAAGTTGCAACATGAGACTACACGGGTGCTCTTTCCATGTAGCCTCGCTTGCATTCTGTTCTAGGAATGCTTCAGGCTATGAGTCACAACAGCTTGCAGCCAGGGTTTGAGGTGAAGCGGCGGCAACTTTGACAGCGGCACGAGAATCACCAGCACCCGACAGCGAGAGCCCGCACGGCAAATGTTTTTTTTAAAGCCCTCGGACCATGCTTCGACTGCCTCTACAAGATACAGCCTGAAAAAGTCGCAGGGACAACTCACCTGCGATGTCCGGGGCCGAAAGCGAAAACCCATCGTATCACTTGACATTCTTCTTTGGAGAAGCCACGTCCAGCGCCTCCACTGGAACGATGGGGTGGTGATGGTGGTGCTTATGGTACACCACTGCCTGTGCTGTTCTTTCTGGCTCTTCGAAAATGTGACTCCCGCTTCTTCAGAATATTACAGACTAATGTTACGGAACATGCTCAAGAGCGTGCCAGCTGCGTTGAGAAGGTCTTCTCCCAGGATCACTCGCCACACGAAGGAAAAGAGGCTCGGGACGTTCGAGGCGAAGGGCAAGCCATCGGAGTAGACGGGCTCCTCACTCGAGCTTTGGGGTTTAGGGTTCAGGGTTGAGGAATGTGCAGGGATTCTGGTACCCGGTACCCCAAAGAGGCCAAGGAAGACTCACCCTACTACGGCTCTTTGTGTAGGAGATTGTGGAAGATGAAAAGACCGCCACCGTTGGCGATGCGACATGCCAAGAGCCACAACTTGAGGTGCTCCCATCCGGTGTAGTACCAGACGGCATAGAGCCAGAGACTCCTGGGTACTTTCGGGGTTTATGGGTTTTAGGGGTTAGGGCTTTAGGGGCTTAGGGTTTAGGGGTTAGGGATTCAGGGGTTTAGGGTTTAGGGTTGTTAAAGGATAACTTAAGCTACCATTATGTGGTAACTTGAACTAAAGCCATAATACGGAAAACCTATGCTATGTAGTAACTTGAACTAAAGCCCTATCCCTAAACCCTTTTCAGAACCCTTAAAGTTTAAAGCCTCAAAGCAACCCTGAGATACTATCGCGTTGCAACTATATGGGAGTTTTCGAAGATAGGGGACCCTAATATAGTACCCTCACTAGTAGGATCCTTGTTATAAAGACACCAAAATAAGGAACACCCTATTTTGGGAAGTGCCCATATTTTGGGAAACGCCCATATTCCTTAAAGGGAACCCAGTCTCTTGTATACGGCCCAGACGATGCTTCGCCCAAGGGTCTTACCTTTGGTTTCCCATACGTGGCGAGGCATGGCTTGTTCACCTGGGTTCAAGACTTTGGGTTAAGGGGTTTAGGGTTTTAGGGTTTAGGATTTAGGATTTAGGATTTAGGGTGGTAGTAAACTGCACATGCCTTTGTAGAACCTTGCCTTACGTGAACTTCAAAGCTTGCCAAAATGCCACCCCGCCGCTTTCAAAGATGCAGTGGAAGAGACCGATTGGCCACCACGACTGTGTCATGTAAGCGTCGGGGTCCGGATAGGTGCTGTTGGGCATCCACGCCTTGTGGTGCCCTTTGTGGCAGTCTGTCAAATCGTCCTGGCACATCTCGAAGAGGCTTGCCGGTATGTCGAGAAAGCGGTGGCCCCATTGCAACACGTGATCGGTCATAGTTGGGAGGAAATGTACGTGGTTGGCTTCGTGCTTGGTCCCGAAGAAGCGGACGAATGCCACTGCTCCGAGGACGACGAAAGAGGTCGGCGAGATGAAACCCTTAACCTCCAAGGCAAACGCGAAAAGGAAGACGAGCCCCCAGTACATGCCCTCCACATGCTGCTTGCGTCCGTTGGTTTGCTTGATGCTCAAGGGCGACAGGGCCCATCGGACCGTCTCTGCTCCAGCGGCAAAGCAAGCCAAACCAACGGAGATAGTTGCGAATGACTCCATCGGTTTCGGTCAGATGGCTGTTATAAATGTCCGGGTAACAGCGGATTCACAGCGCATGCATGTACTTGATCGTCGTTTCTTGGGGATGTGAAATATACTTGAGCGCCTTACACTAGACACTCTGTGTATGATGCCCTGGCATGCACGGCTCAGAGCAACCTGGAGCCGAAACTACGAAACTAGCATCCGGCCCTTCGATATCTGGTCATTGCGCGTAAGCCTCTTTGCAGCTTCCTGGCAGGATTAAAGACCGTCCTTGCTCAGGCCCGACAGGACAGAAGCTAACGAAGCGCACTGTGCAACAATCTGCTCGAAGACTATTTCGTCGGCTTCGGGCTGTAAACTCAAGATGTTTACGGCTGTAAAGCACAAATTACATACCGTGCTAGACTCTTGGGATCTTGCTAAAGAGTTCAGTTTAAGTTACCATAAGTGGGATCCAAATGCAAAAAATCAGCATTAAAACTAACGCCTTCAAGCACGTGATCACAAAGATTTTCCCGAGGCATCATCACAGACAGGCCCAGAACCACAAAGCGGCAAAATCCTTCGTTGAACCTTTTTTTGGCGTGATCAAGCCTCTTCGGCTGCGGCTGCCGCACTCGGTCCTAACAAGAGTGCTAAGAGAACAAGAACTAAACTCGGGTGATAAGCCCAGCTCTCGAAACAACCCCTGGCTGGAAAAAACCTGGGCTGGAAAAGCCCCTTCGCTGGAAAAGACTGGGCGGTGGAAAATGCCCCAGCCAATTTTCACAAGCCGGTGGCTGGAGACAAGCCCGGCTCTGGAAAGAGCCTGTAACTGGACAAAGCCTCTCGCTGGAAAAAACCCCTGGCTGGATGAAACCCCTGGAAACAGCCCCTGGCTGGAAGAAGCCCGGGGCTGGAAGCAGCCCCTGGCTGGAAGCAGCTTCCAGATGGAATCTGCTCTTGGCTGGCAAGAGCCAAGCCACAGCCCCAACCTCAGGCAGCAAGTTCTAACCGGTAAAGGTTTGTTACATACGTTAGTGGATATGCTACAACGCCGGCGCGTATGGCGGACGATGAACGTCGGCTCGTATGGCGGACGCAATAGCGACGAGCTGGGTGTAAGAGCAACGTCACAAAACTAGCCGAGCGGACTACTCAGGCGGTATCAGCACTTATGGCGGATACTTGGCACGAAAGCGGCAACCAAGCCCTAAAAGGGGACTAGAACCGGAACCTAAACCAGGGCGGCGGAGGGTAAGGAAGGCGGGAAAGGGCACACCAGGCAGGTCAGGCAGTAAAGGGAAGGCGCTGCGACAAAGGTTTGTTACCGGTGCCAACAAAGCTTACCCAGCGCCCCAAGCTCAAACAAAAGCAGCTTGCAAATTTTCAAGAGCTTGTAGGCCCCGAATTTTTTGCAGAAACAAATTTTCAATGGAAGTGCATGTGGGCCCCACAGCTCCAACCTCAAGCAGCAAGTTCTAACCGCTAAGGGTCTGTCACCGGTGCCAACAAAGCTTACCCAGCCCCAAATTCAAACAAAAACAGACTCCAAACTTTTCAGAGCATTTGTCGGCCCATTTGGCGTGGGCGGGCCTCAACGACAGCAAGTTGTTGCTGCACTCGGTCCCAGCAAGAACTACAAGAAAGCCAAGAACTAAAAAATAAACTGTACAAAGAAGATAGAACAAAGGTGAGACAAGCTGCGACTAGCAGACTTAGCCGGCATGTCGTTCGCAAAAATGCCTAAAGCTAGCAACGACCCCGCTCAGATGCCCCGCTTCCAAGTTGCAGGACGGAGCCCTGAAAACAGGACCAAACATGCAGCCAATCTTCTTTGAGAAGTGGAAGTGCAGTGGCTTGAGGATCAGTTCATTACCTTGAAAACAAAAAATTGTGCTGACTGCAGGCGTGACTTCTTTCTTGTCTGTTGTGGAAAGTGTTTTTTTTCTGAACAACGACCACTTGTTTTTCAGACTTCTTCACAGGCAAAATGTTTTTTAAGCAAGGATCTTTTGAATTTAATTGGCAGATCTACTTTGCGGCAAAAATGCAAGCAAGCCACTTTAAGAGTTGCTAGTGACCCTTTCAGCAGCTTTGGTTAGCCTGCAAAAAAAATGTTGAAAGCGTTCGTGTGGCCAGATCCAAGGCCTCCCAAAAAGCAAAACCAATTCCGCAAAAACACCTTCATTCTCAAGACTGTCGCTTGGAGCAAATCCTTTTTTTTGGCGTGGACGGGCCTCAAAGACAGCAGTTGCTGCACTCGGTCCCAGTAAGAACTACAAGAACTACAAGAACTACAAGAATACAATAAAGAGCTGTACAAGAGAATCATGTAAGGTGAAACCGGCCGCGACTTGCAGACTTAGCCAGCAGGGATCGTTCGGCCTTTCAGAGCGCAGCTTCACTCAGGTGTCTTGTTAGCCAGGGTGGAGCGGTGTTATACGAGCATCCACAAAGCAGCATGTTCCAGTTGCAAGTGCGTAGGAGATAAAATGGCCCAGCTTCCCAGTATCGTGGGTCTTGCAAGGGCATTTAGCAATTAACACCAATTCATGCTGCTGCCGTGTGCCCGCCGTGCGGAGCCATCGGCTGTGTACGAGCTCCTGAGCGAAGGTAGAAAGACCTTTGTGGCCCGCCATGGAGTATCCCAGGAGAACAAGCATGCCAGAAATGTAAGGCATTGGGTTGAATTCGCCCAAGGGGCGCATGCCAATGTCACCAACCAGCAAGCACCAGCACTTTGGTCCAGGCCCAGCTTCCCAACATGGTGGGTCTCGCGAGGGCAGCACAGTACGAGCGCAATTCAACCAACCATGCCGCATGGTAACTGCCATGTTGGCTAACCAGCCAGGTCTTGGCCCCGCTTGCACACCAGGCCCAGCTTCCCATGTGTGGGTATCGCAAGGGACAAAGAAAGGTGGGGGCACACAGAGCCTACTCCCCAGGGAATGACGGGGCCCAGATCATTGCAAAATTGCCCACGCCCAGCTTCCCATCATGGTGGGCCTCGCAAGGGCAAGAGCGAATCGTAGAGCGCAGACCGACAGCGGTGGTCGCAGACGGTCGCCCAACGGCTCCATGGAGAAAAAGGGCAGGCCCCGGAGCCCGGGGCCATCCCAACGCCCAGGGCTGCGTGTCAATAAGTGCGGACTGGATGGCCGCAGCTCGAAAGAAATCCGAGCCCTCGTAAAGCCTAATAACCGCCCTATAGGCGAGGCAGGACACGGAAGCGAGCACCATTAAAGCCTCAAGGTCAACTTGAAAAATGGTGGCGCGCACTTGAAAGCCGAGTCGCACGATCAACTGGAAATCGGTCGCAACCCTAAAATTAAAACTGTAGAGAGTGCGCTGCGCTAAGTACGCAGAGACGCGGCTGCGATACTCTGCAAACTGTTGCCGAAGAGCCCGCAGCCTTTCGCTCCTGTGTATGAATGGCGCGAAGCACCTGCCGAGTGGCAGCCGACGGCGGGGCTCCAAAGAGCACCGACATCGGATGCACCGCCACATACGTGACGATTGGCGCCCCAAGAGTCTCCGGAATCGTGGCCATGGCTTGTCTTCTAACCCGTGCTATAAAGGCCGACACGGCAGCGAGGGTGCAGATGGGCAGCCCACCAAGCGGCCGAGCGCAGGCCACACACTGTAAAGGGTGGGACTCTCTATGCCCGTCGGCTGTCGGGCTCGAGAGCCCAGAGTAAGGACTAGGTCAATGACAAGTCAGACACCAAGGCGCCCTAGCCAATCTTATGGCCAGCGTCAATCAGGCAGGTCAGTGGCAGTTGTTGGACGCCAGCGAAGTAGAGTCGAGTCAGAAAGGCGTGCGAAGCCGCGTAACAGGCAGCTCTGCAAGCTGCTCCAGAGGAAAGTAGAGCCAGTGCGCCAACCCGGGCCATCCAACAGCCCAGGGTTGCATAGCCGCGACAGCTCTCCTTATGGCTTCAGCGCGGAAAATATCAGTGCCCTCGTATAGAGTGCAAGTACACATTGACACGCACGCCGCGACGTGGAAGCCCACGCAAGGAGGGCCACGAAGTCGACTTGCAAGATGGTAACTCGCACCTGGAATCCGAGTCGAACGATCATCTGAAAGCTCTTCTCTACCCAGACTCGCCTGAAAGTGCGCTGCGCCAGGGCGGCAGAAACGCGTTCTTGATACCCAGCCAGCTGCCGCCGCAGGGCCACCTCAGCTGCCCGTCGTTCATGCGGGTCCATCATGGACAGCTGGTGCCCGGCGGCGGTCGATGGGGGGGCACCAAAAATCAACTGTAGGTAATGCCCAGAGAGGTCCTGGAGGACCTGAACCATGAGATTTTCGGGAAGCACGGCCATTGCTAGTCAGTGAGGATCGAGCCCAAATGCTGTGTCTAAACAGCGGTGAAAGGGGTGCTTAGACGTGCCGGCTTAGCACTCTGCCGTGCGCGCTAAACATCCAGGACACGTAGCCGCCGCAAAGCCGAACGGCCAGGGCTAGGTTAACACTGTCACCGCAGCATGGGCCACGCAGGGCCTCAGCACGTGTCATCAACCTTTAAATGTGACCTAAGGGGGGCCAAAAGGAGCGGGCCCCCCCCTCCATCGAAGAATAGCCACCGCAGAGCCGAATGGCAAGGGCTGGACAGGCCCAGAATGGCCAGGCTGTGACCGCACTACACATCCGCTATCTCCCGCACTTCGCGTTGACACAAACAGTGCAGGGCAGTGAGGCGGCTGCCCAGGTCCGCCTACAAGCCGGAGGCCTGGGCAGACAGGTATCCCTTCAGCGTGGAGACACCGCGCATCGGGCCACAGGTCAGCGGCCTATCATGAGAGCAAGGGCTGCAATCTCCTGATATACGCCGCAAAGCCGAATGGCCAGGGCTAGTGGGCGCAGCAAGTGGCGGCGCGTGCCAGGCGGACTACATTAAGAATGCCGAAGCCTGCAAGGCCCCTGACACTCTCGCCGCATAGTCGCATTCGTTAGGTTAGACGGACATGCGGCTCATAGCGTTCCCAGTATCGCACGGCAATGTCCCATAGGATCTGGCGGAAGTGCTCCGGATTTTCCATATGTTCCTCATTGAGAGTGTACAAAAAAGTCCATTCACCCGACTGTTGGCGCCTGAGGAGCTACTGGCTTGTGTACGAGTAGCGAGTCGACGACCTGTGGTACTGGGGTACCAGCCTGTAGCCCAAGAACTGGTAGCTGAGGCCGCCCGCAAGTCCTCCCTGCCCCCGGAACAAACGCGCTGCGGCCACCCAGTCCTCGAGACGCAGCCCTTATTTTCCCTTTACGTGTCAACCGGGCGTTCCATATTCCATATATACAAAAGAGTATGCATATAAAAATTCAGGATATGTCACTCTTCATCCGAATATATACTTCACAACTAATAAAAATTCGGCTCACACTAGCGGCTCGCTTTTCCTCGTGATTGGGGCATCGCAGTGCCTTGCCCTGCCCTCGGGCCCAGGGCGCTTGCTCTTTGTTCAGTTTCAACAACATGGCAGAAACGCATTTGTACAAGATGCATTGTCAAAAGAAAGATGCCACTTGCATCATTGCGAACTTCGCAGCACAACTTGTGCGGGCAATAATCAGGGCGGGCTGGGTGGGACAAAACTTTTTTCCGGACTTATGCCGGAAATGTTTTTCTTACCCTCCCACCACCCTGTGGAGCCAACTGACGGCATAGCAAAGGCTTCATTGAGATCCCTCAAACATGAACTGTCATGTCTTGGGCTAAGAAAACTTTGACAAAAACACTCACGCCCTAAATTTTGAGTTTGTTTGACAAACCAAAATTTTTGACACAGGGGAAAATAAAGCTTCATCCGCTATTCGCGGAGTTGCGTCTTATTTTCCCTTTACGTGTCAACCGGGCGTTCCATATTCCATATATACTTGTACCCAGGAGGCTCAAAACTTTCTTAAAACCCGGAGGGTTTAAGGAGAGGGTTTAAGGAACAGGGAACGACAGCAGTACGCGCAAGGAGACTTCATTTTGGTCCGCACAGCCCGAAATCACACAGTGCACATGAAACCTCCTGCATAAAGGAGATGACGAGAGGGATTTGCCCCCCCCCTTCCAGATTGGGCTGTTATGAACAGACCATATGGGAAATAGTATACAGGGTGGGCCGGGTGGGACACTAAAAGGACTAAGAGTCCCCTTCCGGTTGATCCAGAATGTATCGGCATAAGATATATCATTGAACTGACATGGGGCGAACCGCCCTCCACTCAAATAACATGAAATCACAAACGACTGAAATGATAAATCAAAGATTTGGAAAACACCTCCTTTGAGGAGGAGTGTTCAAAGATAAAACTTCTTCAAAATCATCCTCACATGAATGTTTCGCAAAAGGGAAAACTGAAATGCATCGCGTGCAAAGGAAACTGAAAACTGCAAGCAACTGACATGACTGACATGACTGACATGACTGAAAGCAACTGCACGCAGGCCGTGGACCGAAGCACGATGGCTGAGGCGTACAGAACTGATAGTGGTCGCAAGCTCCCATTGTTCCCCCCCTCCCCCCCGGGCCTCCTTGGAACAAACTGTTTGGTCCGCTTCGCTACCCAAACTAGGCTTGTACCCAGGAGGCTCAAAACTTTCTTAAAACCCGGAGGGTTTAAGGAGAGGGTTTAAGGAACAGGGAACGACAGCAGTACGCACAAGGAGACTTCATTTTGGTCCGCACAGCCCGAAATCACACAGTGCACATGAAGCCTCCTGCATAAAGGAGATGACGAGAGGGATTTGCCCCCTTTCGCAGACGAGCGCATCTCCGTTCCCTCATCCCCACTGACTCTTCTCGAACCTTATTCGAGGAGCTGACTTTGTTCCATCACCTGCCGTCGAGGTCTTGATGGTATCAAGTTCCGACTGAAAGCTCGCGAATCTCAAGAGAGACGGCAGAACTGACAAGGTCATTTCTGACCAACTGAAAGGTAATCTCAAGTTGTCATCGAAGTCATCGAAAATATGTTTGGTGATGCGATCCGCCTCCTGATTGGAGTCCCTGGGTCTCCAACTGAGGTTACACCTGAAACCCAAGGCGTCACAAAAGGTGACAAACTCCATCACAACGAACATGAGTGGCACTCGCGTCGTAAGCAGCTTGCAGGATAGCGCCTCGGCAGATTTATTATCTGTCCCGCCACAGAAGCTAGCACGGAAGTGCCCTGGGACAGACCAAAGCTCCTTGAAGTCACGTCTCAACAAGTGTAGCGCCGCAAGCGAAGCAAGAACCTCAGCCGAAGTGCTCGCCCACGAACTGCCCGAATCCTTCTTGAACAACCAAGGAGCATCGTCCGTGCTCAAAGTGATCTGAAACCATGGGGCCTTCTTTGGATCCGGCCCTTTGTGCAAAAACCATCCGCCCAAGACAACCGAAGAATCATTGCAAGCGGCATCCGTGCGGAAAAGCTCCCCACAGTCCTTCTCAAGACGGCCCGATTCGTAAGTGCGAGCACCGTGCCTCAAGCGGTCAGCGATAAACCTCAAGACACAACGAATAAGATTGGGAAGCGCGAGTACAGCCCCTTTCCTCACAGCAGCCAGCCAAGCGTAACCAGGAGCCAAGAAGGGCCTAATCCAAACTAAGACCTGGGACATGAAACCGAGTCTCCCGTCGCCGTGAAGCTCATGAAATCGTCGGACATCCACAAGCCAGCCGTTTCCCTCCATGGATTCGATGCCACTGATGATCCAATGGCACCTCCTTTCAGAAATTCCAAGCTTTGAAGCGTCCATAATCAATCCAATAACCGACCCAATCAAGCTGCAATCCCCCGCGCCATTTTCGTTCTGAAAAGGGGGTCCCCTGAAGGCAGAGCAGCGCAAGGGACATCCAGAGATTGAGCCAGCGATCGGGTCCCCCACTGAGCACATGTAGATCATCGGCATAAATGAGCATGAAGAGGAATGCCTGAAGAAGAACTCTGAGGGAAAGCCTGCCCACAAGACCGATGATCCGCGCAAACCAGTAAGCCGCCGAAGCAATTCCGAAAGTTCCGGTGCGATTGACCCAGACCACAGAAGAATCGCTCCGCGTTCTGCAGGAGAGCACCCCCCAATGGTCGGGATGGTGCAAGTAGCGCCTGTGCGCCTTTTTCACGTCCCCCACCAGCCCGAAGAGGACTTTCTCATCGGATACGTTGCCCAACTTTTGGATCGCAGACACTTCCCTAGCACCTGGCGATTCAAGACGGTCCAGCATAACAATCTCATTGTTGACGTGGACCCCGTGGGTCCCATCATGGACCACACGAAAATCTTGGTCAGGTTTCGGAATCACTGCCTGCGCTGCAATACGAAGTGCCGCCCCCGGATAGCGGACCCGGGCCTCTGAAAGAGAAAGCGGGAACATACGGCCTTCTGCTTCTTCTTTTGCAAATGCCTCCTCAAGCGATTTTGCAACCTCAGGGCCGTCCCGATAATTATCCATCAGTGGTTGCCAGTCGGACTCATCGTATTTCTGATCCTTTCGACGAGCTCTGAAAACTTGAGGGACCGGTCCCAATGGCGCAGTGTGGCCGACCTCCACACCATTCACGAAGCAGAACTTGCCCTCCTCGATGATGCGGTAGTCGGGGTCCTCCAAGATTTTAAGAGTCTGTGCCATCGCCCTCAAGTAGAATGGCTGATGAGGAGTCAGCTCCCTTGCCCGTACAGGGTCCGGCAGCATGTTGAACCAGTCCTCACGAAGTTTGTCCATTGCCTCCGGGGCGAACAAGGGACCATCCCAATGCCCCGTCGCCAGACGAAAAGTCGCTTTTGCCAGATCAGGCACAAACTTTCGAACACGATCCTTAAGCTGTTGTGCGAAGGCAGTGGCGGCGGGAGACATGTGGCGCCCCCGGCAGAGAGGTTTCCAACGCCCCGGCGAGCATCTACCGAAGCCGTCCACAAACTCGTCAGTCGCCCCTGCGAACTCGCCCACCAAAGGCGGTCCCTCACAGCCAGATTTCAGCTCGCTATACGGCAGGTCCTCAATCTCCTTCTCATCGTCACCACCGTCCCCCGCGGTAGTGGTCTCGCGGTGGCCACGCTTTCGCTTTCCTGGCAGGTCGAATCCCAAGTCAAGTAAAGCATCCCGGTCCGATTCCACGAGCTGTCCATCGTTCGCAATGGTGTACCCGGCCAGGACCAAGCGACAACCTTCCCAGTCCTCCGTGGAATGCCAGACATGTGGATCGAAGGTAATCTTGCCGCCGTCCCAGTCCAGGATATGACCCGACAGCCAAGAACCACTTATGAAACGACGGACTGAGCCGCCCTCCGACTGAACCCAAAGACCGCCACCCGAAAACCCTGAACAGGCCAGAAGCAGATTGTCAAAAGGTCCGTTCGTGGTGTCCCGATGCGGCGGTTGCTTAAGGTCACGAAAGAATGCTAAAGAAGTAAAGGGTCGGCCAGGGAAGCCACACGAGAGCAGCTTGGCCAAAAGCTCTGAAGACAAAGGAAAGCTCCTCGTTTTGCGCCTGATGCCAACCTTGTCAGAGTGAACAAAGGCTCCTGCAGTGAACGATCGCTGACCTTCGATCACCCTAGAAGTCTGTCGAACTCTGTCTTCATCCGGCAGCAACTCAGAGATGCGCAGAAGTTGCCCGTGCGAAGTTGTCCCACTCCTCAAGCATTCTGCAGCCAGTCGCTCCGCAGGGGAAGCACCCGAGCCAGCCTCAACTTCCCTCGCTAGAAACTGAAAACACGGTCCCAGCACCTGTGTAGGAGCCGATGCAGCCAGTGTTCCCCCCCCATCGAAGACGGAGAAACACCACTCAGCAATAGTGCGGCACAAATCGTCAGGGTAAGCCGCGGCAGCCGAAGTAGCCGCCGACCCGAGCAGCTTTTGCTGATGTCGATGACCACAATACTTCGGCAAAGGGCCGAGGTATCGATCTGAAGCGTCAAACCGAGGAGGCCCAGCGAAGGGCATTCTCGAAGTAACGGGTATAGAAGAAAGAAAACGTGTAGGCTTGGGCGAAAATGCCCCATATTGACATTGGTAAACTGCGAAAGTGATGACATTCTCATGCTTGAAGAGAGCAACGGCCTCCGGCAGCTGCCATATGGAAGCCGGAGAATGACCGTTGGTAGTGAGTCCCAAATCTTCAGGATGCTCAAGCAGAAAAGGTACTGAATTCGAAAGCGCATTTGTGCAGATCTCAAAGGCAAAAGAAACAAGCTGGTTGCCATGTTCAACAAGAGCTCGGTGAGAATCGGATAGCCAAGGAAAGCCCCGAGGATAAAGACGTGATCGCAGTGGCCGAGGACCCGGCTGTACACACCGAGCCTGCGAAAAGGTCCCACAGGGTGGGGTCACCAAGACCACATCCCAATCAGAATTCTTAACCTCCTGCAAACATCGATCGGCGATGGCAGGATCCAAAAGGTCTAACGTGGGATCGCGGCAAATGTCAATTTCGGACATCGAAAAAGTGATACTCTGTGCCTTGCAAAGCGCCTCCAGGGAGCCACGAACATCCGATTTGCGAGACGGACCTGAAAACAGATACAGCACGCGAAGCGTAGGACGTATCCCTGAAGTACAATCGACAACTGAATTCAACGGACCACGGCGAAGTCAGGAACCACCTTGTGCGCCGTGCTGATATGCTGGATGGTTGCGCCCTGGCAGCCCTTAACGCGACACGCGTGGACGCGCTGGCATCCCTTGACCTGACATCCACGCTTGATATTGTAAGCATAACAAAGCTCGCGACCATCCGGAGTCTTGGCCACCAACTCGTACCAAGACTCACCGATTTGAATCTTGGTAGGTAGGTAGGTAGAGTTCGACCTGCAGCAGTAGCTGCGGCCTCCGCCACTCTTCCCCGCCCAGCATCTCGGGGGGCCTCCGTAGGCGTCATCGGCCCCCTCCGCGGGAGGTTCCAGAGGGGGATAGTCTAGAGTCTATACTCGGGATGGATACCAAGGTCGTATCTGCTACAGCTGGGGACTGCAGCACGTGGAAGGCCTGGACTGGCCTCGAGAGAAAGGGGGGGACATGAAACCCGCCGGAAGTGGCCCAAGACGGGGGTTTCGGCCCGGAAAGGGGGGTTTGGGCCAGAAGTGGCCCAAGTCTGGGTTTACGGCCCGGAAAGGGGGGTTTGGCCCAGAAGAGGCCCAAGACTGGGTTTTCGACCCGAAAAGGGGGGTTCGGGCCAGAAGAGGAGGGGAGGGGCGACATACAGTGGGAACCGGAGAAGGCGGGCGAGGAAAACGAAAACAAACAAAAAACAAAAAAAAAAAAAGGCGGGAGAGGCCGAAGGCCACTAAAGCATGCAGAGAACAGAGGCGAGGGCCACTCTTTTTACACCGGGAGCGGCACAAGGAAGTCTCGCTGCAGGGTGGCGAGGCCCTCCGCACGGAGTGCTTGCGAGGCTAAGAGGAGCAAGCGTTGCAAGGTGTCTTCCGGCGTGTCAGCCGGGCAGCGGGCGGCCAGGTCTTGTTGCAAGCTGCCGAGATCCGCGCCACTACATTGGCGGATGCGTGCCAGCAGCCACCGCCGAACATGCTTAAGCCGCAGCACGGATGGGAGAGCTGCCTGGGAGCCAGCTCCGGCTTGGCAGCAGTCGGCAACATGCTGGAGGTGCTGCAGGAGATCGCCCGCAAGGGGCGGGGGACGACGACGCAAAGGGCAAGCTTGCAAGTCGCGGGCCCACATGAGCCAGCAGTCCGGGCAGAGGGGGGCCGCGTCAGGCCGGAAATAAGCGGGGTGAGCGCCGCAGTTCCAACGGCACTGCGTGCGAGAATGCAGAATGCGGTTGCACGAGGCACAAGGAACACCAACGCAAGCTTTGCAAAAAGGGCATGGTGAGGGGTTCCGGCCGGAAGGCGGCCAGGCAGCCCCGCCACAAGTCCAGCAACAAAATAAGCGTTGGATGTTGGCCTGCGGGCAGACGCACGGTTGGGCCAGGCCAGCAACGGCGTCATGCCATGTGGGCAATTGAGGGTCGCCCCAGGCAGGAGCATCGTCTTGGAAGACTGCAGCCCCGTGCTGAGCCAGCGCTGCCAGCAAGGCAGAATCAGCTAGTCGGCCGCACGGACCCATAGCTCGGAGTCTGGCCAAGGCAGCAGGCGGACGCAGGAGGGCCCAACGGAGCTCAGTGAGCAGCGACTGCCCGGGCGGGGTGGCCAACCAAGTGCGGAGTGAGGATGCCGCATCCTGCCGAGGCGGGTGCAGAGCAGCTGGAGCATTGTCCCCCAAGTGGCCCCCAAGGCCGGAGGGATAGCGATGCGGCAGATTCGTATCCAAGCATCCAAGCGTGCTTGGTAGGCCTGTCGTAAACGCCTGATGCCAAGGAGAAAGCACTTTGTAAGGTGGATGGCCGGAGCATGTGGGGCCTGTGCTTTGGAAAGTGAGCGTAGTTCTTGCTGAAGGGCCAGGGGCTGGCGAAGGGTGGCAAAATGCTCCAGCGCCTTCGTCTGCTCCATGCTGGCATCTGTGCACAGCGCCTTACCGAGTTTGACGGGCAGCACCGCCCGATAAGCCAGATCTGTGCCGCGTTCGCGGCCAGTGCCTGTCGCACTGCTACCATCTACATCAACAGAAAGGAGGGGCTCCCGCCCGGGGAGAGCCACAAGCCACCGCCATGCGGAGGGCGTCAGCGCGAGCCTGATGTTGCCAGGCCTGGGCTGCTTGGCGGAGTGACTCGGCGGTGGCGAGGGTTTGAAGTTCAGCCTCTATGTCGTCGCGTAGCATGTCTGCGGCCGGGGCTAAGGCCTTGCACGACATGACGACATGGCGAGGCGTGCCAGGCCCAGCTTGGCAGAGTGGACAGGTGCGCGGGGAGGGCAGGCCCGCTTGCGTCGCCCACGTGTCCGCAAGGGCGGCCACATCTGCATGAGCGTGGGCGCTCTGTCCAACTGCCGCCGATGGCACGGTGGCATCGGTAGGCCGTGGCAGATAGGTCCAGCGGCAGGTGGTCAGAAGGGAGCATCCATCGCTCCCAGCGGCCGGAAAAATGGCACTGCGAGTAAAGGGCGGGGTCCAGTGTGGGCTGATGAACCTCGTGAGCCAACCGTGGCAGGAGGCCTTGCACAGGACGAGAGCACCAGTCGTGGAGGCAAGAGTTGCGCAGTTTGTGCCGGACGTGTGGGGCTGGTGACCATATAGCCTTGATCAGAGAACCAGGCAAACGGCCCGCCTGAAGGCAAACGGACGTCGACAGGGGACGTGGACAGGCGGGCTGCATCACAGCCTTGGTCTTGGACGACGTTGCCCTGGACAAGGTTGGGAAAGGGGATAGGGGAGCCTGCTTGATGACTTTTAATATCGAGGCCTACCAGCCCGATGGCCTCGAAGGCTATGCGGGAGTGGCACTTGAGTTTGTCGCCAATCGGTGCGAATGTGTGCCAGTGTGCCGGGTAGTGTTGTTGATGCAGCTTCCAGGCAGGCAGGGGGCAGGTCCCATCCCAAGCCTGTTCAAGTTGTTTCAGCACGCGGCGCAAAAGGAGCACAAGCGTGCAGCACGAGGAGTGGAGCAGTTGGTGCAAGGTGCCCCGCAAGGCAGAGTGCATGACTTGGAAAAGAGAGCTGCGATCAAAAACTAGGAGGTGCCAACGACCCGGTACCCGAAACCGGAGAGCACACAACAAGGAGTGGAGTTCAGCCGTATGCACGGTGCAATTCTCCCATCCATACCTGGCGGGGAGGTAGCAGGCGTTGAGAAGCCCACGATGAGTCCTCCCAATACCGACCGGTCTGGCCAAAACCCCGCGCTTGGCTGCAGAAAGTGGCGCCTTGCGCCGCGGAGAAGCCTCCGTCTCCGAACAGAGCAAAGTCAGAGGTAGCTGTAAAGTTGGAAACGGGGGCGAGCAGGTGGCCAGAACGGGGGTCCCCCGAAGGGAGCCAGGGGTCTACCCAGGCCACATCCCTCCAGTCTTCTGCTGGCGCAGGGGCTGCAGGGACGTGAAAGATGAGGCATTCTTGCTGCCAGTCAGAATCCGCTTGATGCAGGGCCGCTCGTGCAGCTCTGGCGCAGGCGTGACTGGAGAGAGGTAGGTGTTCGGGCAGGAGGTTAGACCACAGCTCTGCCTCTCCCCAGCGAGACGGCGGGATATACTGGGCTAGCAGTTGTTTCCAGGCGGCTCTGACAGAGTTGGCGAAGATGCCACATCGCGCAAAACGCGCCGCAGATTCAAATCGGCTAGGGTTGAAAGGGCCGTGTAGCGGCTGGAGGGGAGAAGGGTTAAGGTTGTCCAGTAGGCGGCTAATGAAGCGGTCGGTCGACACGCTGAGGTACAAGCCGTAGCCGGCAAGGAAGTGCAGGGCTGTGACAACCAGACCGCGGTGCTGTGGTAGCTCGGCTGGCGGGGAGTCCAAAGCTGCACGGAGACTATCACGAGCCAGGTCAGCAGCTTGGGAGGTACCGTTGAGCAGCAGAAGCAGGTCAGAAGCCACAGCGGCTACGAGCATCTCGGAGAGTAACGGGATGCCCAGGCCCCCGGCAGAGCGAGGAGCAGACAGGCTCACCCGCTCCGAGGTGCTGCGCACACCAAGTCCTGCATGCAAGAGTCTGTGGAGAGCGGCGAAGTCCGCCGGGGGAGGGATGCCCAAGAGAGGGGCGTAGCCGAGCACTCCGCCAAGCACCCACTGGGTCATTGCAGCTACCTCATCCCAGGCGCAGCACTTGCTAGATAGGCGGGATCTGACAGAGGAGAGTTTGCTGATGAGGTCTTCTCGTGCGTGGGAGTGGCGGTCGAGGGGAGTGCCGCGCTTGCCGAGCAGTTTGTCTACGTCCGTTGCAGCAGAACGGGGTAAGAAGAAGGAGCGCATGCCACCGAGCCAGATGTCCCAGCTGCGGACTTGAGCACCTTCTGCAGAGACCCCCGAATTCGGAGGCAGGAGGGGGAGGTGCTGGTCTCAGTCCGAAGCATAGGCGGAGAACTTGGACCAGGCGAACCCTATACCGGAAGCCTGGCTGCCGGTTTCGAGGTTTTGCAGAATGACAGGGAGATCTGCCAGGCCGCTGCCGTAGTGTTCGATGTCGTCTACGTAGCCCGCGGCCACGACCCGTCGACCTGCGCTGGTGAGGTAGGCGGCACCGTCAACGGGCCGGAGGCGCAACAGGGGGTCTTGGGCAGCGCGAGACACTTCCGGTGAGGAGACAGCTCCTTGAGGCACGCCACGTGCAACAGGCAGAGGAGGCGTCAGGCCGGATCTGGTGCTAAGCTGGACGTTCATGTTGGAGAACAAGGCGTGATGCAGGCGACGGACGGAATCGGGAATGCCTCGGCCTTGTTGCAGGGCATCGACCTCCGCCAGCTGGAGAACGTTGAAAAATTTTTCATAATCAGCTGGCACGCGCAGGAGTGGACGCCCAGACCGCTGTGCATCTTCACAAACAAGGCAGTCCAGATAGAGGACTTCCGGGGCTGCGGCGACGCCTTTGGAGTAGGCCCGGTTGAAGCGACTAAAAGGGGCATCCGAGTGCCATGGGTCCCTCAGCTCCGCAAGCCTTGACGCGACCACAGCTTCTACGGCTTTGAAGGACTCTTCAAGCATAGAAAGGGGGCGCCAACCTCCAGAGGGTTTGGGCAGATGGATCTGGGTCGCGTGCTGCAGGGATGATGGCACCGTGCCAAGCATACGTAGCATGTCAAGGCAGTGCCAATAGAGCTGCTGGACATCAGGCGGGAAGGCCTCGATGTAGCACACTTTCCAGCCGCTCGGGCCCGGACGAGAAGGGCGAAATTTTGCGAGAAGGAACCGCTGTTCTTCTGACGAGACAGGTCGGACCAAGGTGTAGTCAGGCTGCTCTTGCACGCGCAAGATCAAGGTGCCCGGGTGGGAGTTATGCATGAAGTGGTCCATGGTGAGGTGCTTGAACGGCGTGTCCCCCAGTGCAATAACCTTGAGGCGCGGGCCTGGGCAGGGGGCTGGGCGGGTGGCATACCAGCAACCCCGTTCCACAGTGAGCACCCATGGCCCAGCCCTGACGCGCTGGTCGGATATCGGGACCACGGCGTGCAGTGGCAGTGGGGATAGGATCCATGGGCCAGGTGTGAGGAAGGCTTTGGCCAGGTGAGCGGAATCGGGGCGGGTTGCAGCGTGGACTAGAACCGCTAGATTAAGGGAACCTCGCGGCTTAGAAAGGCAATGGTGGGCGGAACGGAAGGGCAGCACTGCAGGGTGGGCCCAAGAGCTAGGAGGTTCTTGAAGCAAACGGTTCCAATCCTGCTGTGCCCCCAAAAGCACTTGCGCAGTCGTCGAGGGACGCACCTTTCCCTTGTCGGGTGTAGTGACCCAATCAGGGGAGTATTTGGACGATGCAGTTGGGGTGGGGCGCATTTTGCGCGCCCATGCCGAGACTTCACCGTCACGGAGTAGCTGAAGCCTGGCTTCACGCAGGCTGCGGAGGTGTTTAGCGCAGACCTGCGCGTGTTTAGCGGAGGCTGTCGAGATAAGGCTATCGATAGAGGCCACACACTGCGCAGGGGAGCGGCCCCCAGATAGGAGAATATTGCAGGTGATATGCGGTGGCTCCGCCTGCGAGCGGGCAGGCGGAGGGGTGACGCCAGAGGCTTCCGGCATCTGTGCAAGGATTTCAGGGGGGAAGCCCAGGCTGCGCGCCCAGGCGGCAGGGTCAGAATCGAAGGTGTCCCAGCTTGGCAAGGCAGGGCGGGCATGCTGGGTTCGATGATGGGAATCCATTCCTGTTGCCTTTGCCCAGCTGTCTGCCAGGTCGATCAACGATAGGCAGTGTGGTCGCAGACGCCCCGATGCTTGCACATCGTCCAATATGGCTCGCTTGACCCGGCGCAGCTCCAGGATGCAGGCATGCCAAGCCGAGGCAGTACGACCCTGCAACCTCTTAGCCACTGGCTCAGGCGGGGGCAAGCAAGAGGAGAGGATACGCATTAGGGTGTCGTGCGCTGCATGCGTGGCGCATAGGAGGTCGGAAGGCACCTGGAGGGAGGGGGCCCCAAACAGGCCATCCAGGCCCTCGCATTGTGGTTGTGGGAGAGAATTCCACTGGTGCTCTATTGCTGCGAGACTGTCGTGCAGGTGGGCCAGTTCGGGTTGATGTTGCACAATGTTGGAGTGGACTCGTGATGGGAGATCGCGGTCCAATCTGCGCATGTATTGTCGCCACGGTGGCGGAGGGTCGTCAGTGGGAAGGATGTCAGGGAGTTCTACACTAAGGTCGGTGATTACTGGGTCGTGGTCAGCTCTACGATCCCACTGCTAGACGGTGGCCGCGTTGAGTACCAGGACCTCGTGGCTAGGGGAAGGCAGCCACCACACAGCGTCCAGGCGACTAGCGGCTCCGGAGCGGGCGTAATATGTGAAGGTCTGCAGAGTAGGATGACGGTCTCTTTTTCTTCTTCCATTGGCTTCTCTTCCTCCTGAGGCTTCTCTTCTTCTGCCTTCTCCGCAACTCTATCCGCTTCTGCTCTTACTTCTGCTCTCCTTTCCTTGGCTGCTGCTTTCATCTCTTCCAGCTGCTGCAGCTTTTCATCCATGATCTCTCCTTGCTCTCTTATCTTCTCCTGGATGTCTTCAGGTATCCGAACAGTTCTTTGCTCCAACGCTGCGAAGTTAGCATCTTTCGACTTCCTCAATCTTTCTGCCTCTTCTGCCAATTCTTCTGCGGTTTTCTTAAACGTCTCCAAATCTTCTTCCTTCTTGTCTTCAGGTGCTTCTTCTTCATCGTCCTTTTCTGCTGACTCGCTTTCTTTGGACTCATCGGACTCTGGATCCGACGCTGCTTCACTTTCATTCTTTTTCTCTGACTGTTCTTCTTTCTTCTTGTCAACCGACTTGACTTCATACTGCTGATTGAGAGCTTCCACCTCCTTCCAGAGGTCATCAGCATTTGGTCTTTGCGACCGTTCTCTCTTGAGCACTTTTTCGAGGTAAGTGGTAGCCTCGATGCTTCTGCTGCACTCCATGATCATATACTTGACTGCTTCATCGTCTGCCATTGCTCTTGTCCTATCTTCTTCTTTTTCTTCTTCCTTCAGGACTTCTTTCTTGAGCAAAATGGCTGCACTTGCAACTTTATGCATAATCGCTGATATGAACATGCACAACAGTATGCAGACTACACTTGCTCTTCCCAGTCCTTGTTCACCTTCTTCGCCGAATCTTCTTGCTTCAGCCAACGATAACAACACTGCGGTCGTAACCGTCTGGATAATCCTTGTAATCATCCTTTCATCAAATCTTGGAACACTTCTTGTTCTTGTCCTTCTCACTTCAGCTTCTTGTACTTCTTGATCACTTGGTGTCAAAAATTCACCTGTGTATCCTAAGCTTAGCATGTACTTGCGTATCTTTTCTCGTGTCAGGAATTTGGTCCCCAGGTCTGAGGGATTGTCCTTACCTGCTATCGCCTTTATGATAAGCTTCGGAATTCTTTGGATCCATAAAAGGTCCACTTGTAAATGGCGTGCTCTTCCTAAGCCTTTTCTTGAGATCAACTGTCTTGAGCTTGACGAATCACTGTATAACATCAGTCTTGGCTCAACTCCTAGGATTCTTGTCAGTAATCCTTTTAGGAATACACCTTCGCTTAAGATTGATGTCGCTGCGATTGTCTCAGCTTCGCAAGATGACAATGCTACGCTTTTCTGCCTCTTGCTTTGGAAATGAACCAGGTTTCCATTCACCATGATCACTCCGCATGCAACACTTTGCCTTGACTCTCGATCTGCTGCCCAATCACTGTCGCTTATCACTTCTATGAGCGCGGGAACTTTGTAGTTGTCCCTCTCGCCGTTTCCTTCATCGCTTCTGTTCTTCACTTCGAGGAAACTTTTTCCGGGGTAACTTCCTTGGTGTACCAACGCTAGCTCTGGTGATCCCTTGAGATACTTTCCAACGTACCTTAGCAGTTCCATGTCTGCTTCAACGGGTGATGCGAGCTTTGTTGACAGCTTCTTCAAGACATACATGATATCTGGCCTCTCGGGCGCGAGATACAGTAGGATTCCTACTCCTTTTCTGAACGTGTGGTGATCTTCTGTACTCAGTGGTTCCATTCCACCTTCTTTTGTTTGAAACGATCTTCCATTATCCGCTGGACACGGTAGCTTCTTCGGATATGCTCCTTCCAACTTGAGCACTTCTACCAGTCCTTCGATATACTTTGAGTTCATCGTGATCTCTACGTTTCCATTACCCATCGACTTGAAACTTCTCTTCAGGAAACTCATTGATCCTTCCTTCTCATCCATTGGTCCTTCCACTTTGATCTTCAATCCTTTGCTTCTTAGGAATTCGACCAACTTCTTGAATTCTTCTTTTGATGCGTACAGCTCCATGTCATCTACATGACTCAGCACGATTATTCCGAATCCTTCTTTGTCTGGTGTTCTTGAGAATAGTGCCGGGAGTCCACTGTCACTTGTTAACCCGTACTCTTCCAGGTAACTTTTCAACTTCCCGAACCAAGCTGCACTTCCGATTCGTTGACCGGGCAACGTCAATCCCAGTTCATAGTATTCTCCATCGACTTCAACCACTGTTGGTTCTTCTTGTTCCACCATCAGGTAAGCATCTCCAACATCGATACTTCCAAGTGTATACCCTTCTGAAGACGCCAACAGGGCTGATAGTAGCTTCACTGTGCTTGCTACACCGGTTGGCGAAAACAAACTTGCAATATCTGTATCACCTAACCACTTGAACTCTCTTGCTACCAATCGTCCTCTTCTTCTCCACTCTTTGTCCCTGTGCCTCCAGTCATACACTATCTTTGTCGACAGAAACTTGTACTTTGAGATGTCTGTTCCTTCTGGCAACTTGTTCAGCACTTTCATCTTCTCAAGTCTCTCCAACTCGTGCTTCTTGGACACTCCTTCGACTTTCTCCATTTCTTCATCTGCTAACTTTGGTGGTCCGCTTTCGAAATCATTCGACCATTTTGGCATATCTTCTGGTATCTCTTCTTCACCATCTGATTCTTGCCGTTCTTCTTCTTCATCAAATTCAGCTTCCATCTCTTCAAACTCTTCTAGCTCGACTTCTTCATCATCGTGATACTGTGGAAGCTCCTTTCTTAGGAATGGTTCTATCTTCTTCACACTTCTCATGTCGATTACTCTTCTTACTGAACTTGATGCATCTCCGACGGCGATAAATTTTTCTGGTCTCTCTTCAGCTTCCGTCGGTCCTTCATCCACTTTCTGTCTCACCGCTTCTGGCTGCTCGCCTTTTTCTTGCTGGTGGGCGGACGGTCGCTGCCTTCGGCGGGTGAAACGGGTCGGAACCTACTGTACGTAGGGAGGGGTTTTCCCCTTTGCCAGCGTCCTGGTGGCACCAGCTACCACCAGGCTTGCTGGTTGTTTAGACTACCTGGAACCTGGTTACACCAGGACTGGTCTTCACCAGTGGTCCTAGAGCCCTTTGGCCCATCTCACCAGTGCTGGGTTCCCCAGACTGGTATCCTGGGCACCCCAGGAAGCGGTAACTGGTAGTTACCAGTTCCTGTGGCTCTGTGTTCACCAGTATCTCCCGGTGTATTTGGAGAGCTCACCGTCCAAGGGGAGGAGTGTGAGCATCCAGACTTTACAGGTTCCAAGTCGCGCACTTGGTCACCACAGAGGAGTGGTTGTGCAAGGCAGCCTTCTGAAGTGACCCCTAAACCTGGGCTTGTGAGCCAAAAGCTGCACTCAGAATTTGAACTTTGTTTGTCCTTTGCTCTCAGTCTTCCGGCTTTTGGCTTTGCCAGTGGGCTTGGCCTTGGCTTTCTCCTTAGCAGGGGTAGTAGGAGAGGAAAGAGAAGAGGGCGGGGCCTCACAAGCCCTACTACCACTGTCTCTAGAATTCCCCACCACTCCTTCATCATCGTTGGCATCAGCACCAACTGCATGACTGAGACTGGATTTTGTAACCCTGCCGGAGCCTAGGGGTCTACTTACAGTGGGCTGGCCCAGGAGGTCCCCAGGTGTTCTGGTATTTTGGTTGGAGGCCTCACCACCACCAGAAAGAGGCTCGCTCACACTGTTCAGCTTGGCCTGGGTGCCTTGAAAAAAGGGGGGCTTAGCATCAGACGACTGGCTAGGGCCTGGGTTAACCCCAGAAAGCACCTGTGCCTCAGGACCCGAACCAGGAACCAAAGCGTGGGGGCTTCGAGGACCGCAAAACCCCTGCTTGACAGGCGCAATTTTCTTGAGAATGGCATGAGTCCACTGGTCCTTACCAGCATAAACCAATTTGCAAGGCTTCGCCAGTTGCGGTTGGATTGTGTCTTGATTAATCCACTGTTTGAGACCACACTGTCGGCACAGCCAAGCCTTCCCCGCATTGATCATTTTGTGCGTGGCGTGCTCCCCCAAATTGGGTGCTGAGGGTTCTCGGAATCTGCACGGGTGAGACGTGTTTTTGGCAAACACGTGTTTCGACTCCGTTTGCTCCACAAAGAGTCCACAAGTCTGGCACCTGGCAGTGAGCTGGTCCCTGGACCGGTATCCTTCTACCCAGGTATGCCCTAGGTGACTGTCCCCCCCAGCGAACAACGCCTCTAGATGACTCCGTTTGTTGGGCGCTCCTTTGGTTGGGCTGGGTTTAGGGGCACCAGCATGCTTCCTGGGCTTAGTGAAGACATGTTTTTTCTGCCTGGGTCCTTTCTTACCCCTCGGATTTTTTGCTTCTGGTTTGCCCTCAGCAGTCTCCGAGGCAAAGGCAACCAGGGGGCAGGGGGCCTTCACCTTCCGTGTGCTGGAACATGGCTGAAGCCCGTCCTGCAAGCAGGTGGTTGATTTTAACCACCGCCTGGTCCTTGATTAGGACACTCTGTTCCCATTGAAGGTCTCGGCATTGGTTCGCTGCGTCTTGCACCAGCTGGTCTACCAACTGGTTTGCCTTCCAGCGCCACCAGTTGTGCTGTCCAAAATTAGGCTCAAACTCTTCCCATTCCAGGTGAGAGTTGACCCAGGTGAGCTGCAGTCGGTCCCGGTGCTCCCGCAACGGGGTAAAGATATCCTCTGACTGCCAACCCTGCGCCTTAGCCAGACATTGCACCACTCCTTTGCAGTCAAGCGTGACGTCAAGAAACCGGTCATCTTTCCTTGTCAGATATGCTAAGGCTTGCGCCTCGGCTCTGAACACAGTCTGTTGGCCAGGGACCGGTCCTG